TGTATGTGTGCGTGTTTGTTTCTGAGAGCAAGATTTATGAGGACACAGGGTATGAGGGTGAGGATTAGGTCTTGAGGGACAGAAAGTATCCCATGTTGTCTTCATGCACTCCCACAAATATTAGGATTTTATTTGCCAACCAAAATTAGCTGTGTTTGGAAGAATGAAGCAGTGAATATGGATAAACTAATCAAAGACATGGTGCTTGAAGGTTATGTCAAGAAGAATACAGATTAAAAAAGAATTTGTCAGTAAACGTTACTTCATGATGAAAAACATGCTGATCCCATCTCTTATTGGGTGATAAGCAGGATACCTCTTGTAATTTAATTTATCTATTTAATGTACTCTTGTTTCGTTCCATCTCAGGGTGAGTTTGCTTATATAACTGCTTTACTGTGGGTCTACCCTGCTCTGAAGCAGATGGACACAGGGCTGAGCAGAGGAAAGTGTAGTAAAAATAATATTGTGTAACTGTAAGTGATAAAAGATTCAGCACTCAAAATCTCAAAGCCAGGGCAAAATATCTATAAGTTATGATAATAAAGATCTGTGGCCAAAATAAAAACCCTTACCTGATTTATATTTGGCCCACCTCAACTTGTTACACACCTCTCGAGCATTTTGAGCTCACTGTGTACCTGCTACATTTTATCCCTTTGCACTTGTGCCTCTGCAGTGCATGCTGAATTTCCCCCATTGTCAAAGTGACTACCCTTCAGCTGGATTTTGAATTTTGGAAAGTGGTTGCAGCAAGTTGCAGGCAGCAAAGATTGGCACCTAGTCCAGGTGGTGAGTGAAGGTTGTGTTTGTGTGGCTAGAAAACACAGTTATAGTACAGCTGACGGTCTCAGCCTTGGGGTCGAGGATATGATGCAGCTGAAAACTGCTTCTGCATCGCTGTTCTCATCAATGATGATGCTCCTTACAGTCAAGTGAGGAGCATTATCAGGCCAAAAGGGTGATCTAAAAGGACAACCTTATTGGGTGACTGGCCAAATCAGGTAAGGCCTCAGTCACACTGGCTTGGGCCATTTGGCAACCCCCTGGCAACCTCTGGTTGCTGTAGTCTATTCCCCCAGTGTTGGCTGGAGGCACCTGGCTGATGCCTGATAAAAATCAGTTGAAAAGAGGTTGTTGCACAGATGCCACTCATCTACAAACACTCGCCGTCTACTCTCCAAGCTGAGAAACTTTTCAAAGTCCACACAATCTGGAAACAAAGTATGTTTGCCTTCATAGTAAAAGTTGTTCATAACTGCTGCAACCAACACGTTTCAAAACATTTACTATGAAGGAAAGTAGTCTCCATCCCCCGTTTGCATCACACTTCTTAGTTTTACTATTGCTTAGCAAGTAGTTTGTTACTATTTGTAGAAGATTCTGTGTCTTCATTTGGGAACCAAAGCAATCACAAGAAGGTTTGTCGTGCAGCACTGTATACCCCTGCAACCAAATCGACTGTCAACAGGCTCCCACGACACACTTTTCCCTAGTGACTAGTGGTTACCAGGGGTCTCCAGTCTCTACGCCTGCGTCAATTGATTTCACAGCAGATGCTAGCAACTGTCTGCTAACCGATCAGGGATTATAGATTTTTCCCTCATGGCGGGTAGTTTCCTGATGGTCTTTAGCCCCGAATGAGCTCTGTGTGACTGGGGCCCAAGACAGTTTCATCACACCTTGTGCATTTCTTAAAACCATTACAAGCAATCAAATAGAATCTGCTGACAGGAAAATAAAGTCCCTGTGATGGTAGATGTGTTTCACTATGTTTTGTATTACAAGTTAATGATTGTAGCTGCATGTTTTTTGTCTTTTGTTTGTTATGTGTACATAAACTACTTAGTTGTAAATGAAATGGTTCTGAGAGGCTAGTGCTGTAGTTACTTGTATAGTTAGCAGCAATAAATGTTTCTTAGTTACTTCAAACTTAGACTGTCATTAAAACTATTTTGTATTTATCTCCTTGTTAAGACTGGAGTTGTGAGTATGGTCTAATACAGTATGTACTAAAATGCTGGGTCATCCATCTCGTGCCACTCATTACTGGGGACAACTGCTAAGGCAGTTTACACATTTATGTCAGAATACAATTGCATACCGTCCCTCGAATAAGCACCAGTAAATGACAGCTGTAATTATCAGGACTTCACATGCGTGCAAAGAGGCCCTAAGCTGTCACAGTGTTGAAACAAATGTCTGGTGATACATGTGTTTTGTCGGTGAATATAATCTGTTTCATCCTTTTTAACAAACTGGCAACATACAGCTATGGGGCATATAGCCCAAACATCTGTGCATTTCTCTCCTCAGCTCTAAAAATAGAAAGATAAAAAAACAGAGTTAAACAGAATCAGGCAGTGTTAGCGATGTGAGTCTTGTTTCTTTGTAAAACAGGTGTGCTGTTTGCTTGTCAGTTGTAATGATTCTTTGCCTTTGATTTGTGTCCTTTTCCTGTCACTCATATATCCAATAGTTTATATAGTTTATATAGTTTTTTAGAAATCATTTATTGCTGTTTCTCAGTGAAAAATGATCTATTCCATGTTTACAAAATACTATCATGCACCCAGCCTGCCATCATTTCTCAGAATGGGAAAAAAAGCCAAATTAGTGAGCACACTAAAAACTAATCACAGTCATATGCTTGGTTGCAGTAAAGCAGGTACCTCGCTACAGTTTTGTGTTTTAACACCGGAATCTCCAAAATCTGCTTATGAGGTTTTACCCTCAAGAAGATCCATTTGAGGTCTTGGATTTGAAACTCTATTCAAACAGTTTAAATCTCTTTCTAAAATACTTTGTATTTTGTTTTGTTTTTTAGGAAAGTGTGTGCCCCTGCTGCCGATCAGTAAGAAGTGCTCTTCAATATGAATACAGGTACAGTATATATCCAAAAACAAGTACAGAGTGCAGCGTTTACAGGATCGTTGGGAAGTCCCCCATCCACCTGTCCGATCCATGTCTTGCTTTTGTTTGGAAAAGTTAAAATAATTTTGTCATGTGGGTTTATCAGCCATGACGGTGATGAGCATACATGAAACTTTTACTACAAAACAGTGTCTTATATAAGACTTCAGGTTATAAGTGTAAAATTGATTCATCTATGAGAAAAATGGGAGAAATATAACAAGAAAGAGCATGTTTTACATTTCTGCCTGTCGTCATGTCATGATCATAAAATCATTAGTTTGGGATTTTTTTAAATTTATTTTTTGGTAATAACCCAGTTCAGAATCACGTTGATTTAAAAACAACTAATGTCTCACTTTATCTCTTGTAAATATTTAGGTTAGTGGAAGCTAATGCAGTAAATCATATTGACTTTGATTTGTTCACTTTAGCAGTTCTCGTGTTTGCACAGCTTTTTCCTAATTTTCTATTGAGCGCCAGTAAAAATCAGCTACTTGAAATGCATGTGCTTTGCCTCCAAATCTGCCTTTGTTTGCAATATTGTTACTGTAATTATTATCTTTCCGGCTGAATGCATTTGTTTATGGCAGTATGCGCACAAGCATGTGCATGTATGCTTCAGCTTTTGCTTCTATGATCATCTGCCTGGCTGTGATTTCTCAGATAGCGGAGGATATGCTCGCAAATGTGTGGCCTTGTCACTCATGCTCTCTCCCATGAAGAGGGTCCAGAGCTCACCAAATCTAGCCACAGGTACTAACACTCACAAACATACAAATGAACATAACTATTTCCCAAAATAACCCAAATAAAAGGCCGCTGCAAGTGTTGGCTGAGCCAAACTATCGGTCAAGGACATGAGGTACATCTAAGTGGCTTGTTGTTGTTGAAAATCCTGTTATGGCTTGAACACATTTGAAGTACTTTGAAATAGGCTGTGGCTGCCTCGGTATGCTTAAGCAATGTTTGGATTGTGGGATGCTATTTTTTCTTAATCGGTTCATTGTGTAATTCTTTCATTTCCTTTTGTTCATTTCCTTCTTTTGCTTCCTTCACTCATTCGTCATATTTGTATCTATGTGCTGTTATGCTTTTGCTTCTTCTTTGTAGAAGTGATATTATGTTCTCACATCCCACAATGTCTTCTCCCTGTCTATGTGTATATTACCTTAATGTTTTTAAAGGGTTTTTTTTAATATACGTTTCTTTTTTTGGTTAGGCATTACACTGTTTCCTTGACCTAAGCTAAATTATCCTCAGATACTCTGTGTACAGAAAATGGCATCGTTAATGAAATTACTGTTACACTAGATTCATCACAGAGTACTATTGTTTGTGAGTTCAGTGTTAAATTAGATTACAGTTATTTGATTGTATTTTTAGTCATAGGAAGCAAGTTCAGTCACTGAAGCAAATGCTGATATTTTTTTATGCCAGGAGTTTGAAATGCAGAAAAAAATCATTTTGGCATAGATTTTGATATTACAGTTTGATAACTGTCTCTATAGAGTCTCGATTTCTTTGATTTCCTTTTAGATAATTTCAAGTTCACTCAAAGACATTTTTACGTTATCTCACATATTTTCCTAAAGCCCCAACTTGCCTTTCTTGAAGTGGCTCATAGTGGATTTTAACGTTTGCTTTAGATGATGCTCCTGTTACAGCGTGAAGCGTGAAAATTGCTTCAAGAATGAGTTTTCTGTCTCTATCCTTTAAGCTGACGGGAAAGCAACCTCAAGAGGAAACCCACAGACACGTTGTAGCATGCAGGGGGGAAAATCATTAGCTGTTAAAAATGCAGTAGAAGCAGTTCTTGGTAATTAGGTGTGAATTGTATCTTGATGTTTAAGAGCTTTTTAAAAATGTTTGCACAGTAGGTGTATATTGGAGTTTGTTACAGAGATGAATGTAAGGAACACTCAGCCATGTTGCTTATTATTGCTGTGTCCTTTTTTCCCCAGGGAGTGATTCTCACTCATCGGACTTGGGTAAGTGCCTGATGCTTTTGGTGATTTCTGGTGGACAATCCTAACACTGCTGTAAAACATCCCACATGATCCCAGCAAACTTGGTCAGAAAACATTAGTAATGGTAAAATTACTAAATTTATCTTCAGATTCTTGGCGGTCACACAGCGCAACAGACGGCCTTAAAAACGGAGATGCTAGCAGCTCATCGCTTGCTGCCAAAGGCTTTCGCAGCGTCAGACCCAATCTGCAGGACAAAAAGTCCCCCTCACAGGTGAAACATCATTCACAGTACACTGACAGACACTCACGCATTTATTTCTCTGTTGTTGCTATTTAAAATTTAATTACAAGTGTAATTTCATGATGTGATGTGCTTCTGTTGGCTTTTGAGTGTCTGAGTGGGGAAAAAAGTTATTTTTAACGTCATTAGGAATTTGGATAATATACATATATTGTTGCTGTATTCTGAAACAAGTATTTTAAACTTTCTGATCTCATGCTTTGTGCTGATGATTTTTTTTTCTGTTTTGTTTTTCTTTTTTGCTGTTTGAACTTACATTGGTTGCCACTTTCTAATTGGCTAACAAGGATATCAGTCCATTGCCATTGCCACCCCCCAGAAAAGAGAGTTTTCACTTCTCGCCTGCAGGCACTAATCCTCAAAATTACAGTTCCCTTATTGGCCTGGCTAATGATTTGAGTCCTGGAATGCTAACAATCACTAAAAATGAACAAGCAGTCTTGAAAGAGTCCTACACTGTAAGAAGCACATCATCCTACTCATACTCAGAAACCAGTGCAAACACAGTCCAGCAGCTGAATGAGTCCGTTGTCTCGAATGACACAAGCAATGCTAATACAAAAGAACGTAAGGTGTCTTCCCTTACACTAACTCCTGTCACCATCCCTGACCCTCCTGCACACCTCAATTCTTGTGTTGATCCCCAACATAAGACCCAAACCACAGGGTCCCCTCCACCCACTTCCTCACCTCCACAAAGAAGTCCCATCCTATCTCAACCCGTGACACAGACAGCTTCGATTTCTGTCCGCTTGGACAAAGAGAATAAAAAAAATCCTGCTTCATCTAAGACAAACTCCAAAGTGGAACTCAAGGTCTCAGATCAAACGGCAGCTCCAGCTCCATCCCAGGTGGAGATAACGAAGCCTCCTCCTGCAATTCCACCAAGGCCTTCTCCTGCAAAACTGTTGGTACATAACTGACTACAGACCGGTACAGCAGAGCAAAATACACAGTTGTGTTCATTTAAAGGTCACTTTAATCCAGACACTGGGTTTATGTCTTGGTGACATCAAGACTGATTAAAGGGTAACACACCAACTGCATCATGTCACTTGGTTGCAGTAGGTCCCCAGAAATAACAGAAGTAGTCAAGCTACTATTACAGTGATGGCCCAAATTCTAAACTAGCTTCTTTTCTTATATGTTGAGTCTGACTGTGGCATTCTGTTAAAGCAGATATACCGTAGGGGTTTTAATGCATGTCTTCTACTTGTGTGTGTTGCCCTTTAGTTCATTCTTGTTCTTGATAATACCTTCCACTGAACCAAACAGTGATTCTACAGTTGTGTGAACTTGTACTGCATTTTAACCAAGTGTATAATATGTTGTACACCACAGTTAATTACCATGTAATCTGGTGCTTTTTCTGTAAAGTGTGAATTAACAAAACATCTTCAGTTTCCAGCATTAATGCGTTCAGAAGAGGGTGCTGCAGCTTTATGACACCGTGTGGTTTCACAACAGTAATTCACCTGTTGTCACATGTTATTTTTACACATCCCTTTTGACACCATGTCTAATAAATTATCTCACTAAGCACTCTCCTCCTTTCCTCCTTTTCCAATGAATTACCTTTTATTCCAACCTCAGGGGCCTCCCTCGCCTGACCCCACAGCACGGCACTCCCCCTATCGCTACCACAGCTCAGAGTCACTTGACTACCTGTCAGGTCTAATGCCCAAGGCACTATCACCCACTCCGTATGTCCCAAGTGGAGCTGGTGGCACAGCTGGTGCGGCCAGCGGGCCAAGCCACGGCGCAGTCAGCAGTGTGAGCTGTGCCTCGCCCTCGGCTTCCCCCGTTACCGTGTCAGCTCTCAGCCACTACTCGACATCAACGGTCGGCCTGCTGGACGAGCTGCAGATCTGTAGCCTGGACTCGCCTGTCGCCTCACCCACGCCATCGCCCACTCTGAGCCATGTCTCTACCTACACGCCCACTGCTGGCCGTGATGATGTGCTAACAACCTCTGTGGCCTCCGCTGCTGCAGCAGCCACTTTCACTAATGTAATTATCCAAGTCACCTCTATAACATACATCATTACCAAGAACAGTTGGTTCCCACGCTCCCTCCACTCATTTTGATGGCTGAATCAGAACTCTACAAAGTGTGTGATCACTACCAATTTTTAACTTTCACTAACTGTTATCTACACCCTACCTGTCAGATACTGAAATTAAATCCAGCCCTCTTCGTTCCCTTATTATGTTACTGTCTGTACTCATTCAAACATGTCTATGCGTGTCTATATTTCTCCTTCTTTTGTCGTTTTTGCCATCGTGTTTCTTAAGGCCAGTTCATATCAAAAATTCATGATGCAATGAAGTGATTTTTCTAAGGTGAAGGTGCAGTACTCTGCTGGAAGCCATTAGCTATGGGTTATTAGCATCTAAAAAGACTGAACTCCTGCTGCTTTTCTTTTCTTTTTTTAGCACTGCAGCATGTGTTTGGACTGTAATTATGTGACCATTCAGCTCATTATATTACACTGCAAATAGACATATTCTACTTTATTGTTTCTCTATGTTATGCTAGGAGAACATACATGTGTATGCTGTGTTTGCAGTTATGCAAGTATGATATTGAAAGCAGTAGATTTCATTTTGGTAAACTTGTTTCTTAGTATTTTAATCTAATTTTTGCCTTTGGGGAGAGCATGCAGTGCTTTGTAAATGTATGTAACTACACTGCTAATCGCTATGTGGATAATAAGTGTTTGCAAAAGTATTCTAAATACATTGGCGCTTTATAAATAATACTTTATCTTTCTGCTATATGACCACTATGACTAAAATATCATATTGGCCTTTCTTTATTCAGTATATTAAAAAATCATATTCTAATAAGTAGCTTTAATTAGTATTCTCTGTGTAAGTAGATTAGGGTACTGCAGGCAGGCAATCTCACTTGAACCTATGTATAAAAATAATAATAAGTGTGTGTGTGTGTGTTTTTGTTTTTTACATAATTTTATACTATTCATATGACAATATAATAGCATTATAAGCCAAGCACACTTAAAAAAGCAATTCGTTTTTTAGTCAGTCTTTCTTTGGGTTATCTGAGTCGAAGATAATGGTGCTCTGGCTCTGTAGTACCTCCCTCTTGTTTCACCATGAATCTTTGGTGTGAACAGGCAAACTTTAAAACTGAAATGCAGTGCTGTGAAAAAGTATTCGCCCTTCATGAGTTCATAGATCTTTGCTTAGTTCTCACACGTTTCAGAAAATATAACTATGCCACCCACAGCAGCAAGTATAACTGTCAATGATCTGTGTCAGATCGCTATGAAGGAATGTTGTCCCACTCTTTGAAGAATTATTTCAGTTTAGCAGCTTTGCGGGGTTTCCAGCATGAACAACCTGTATAAGGTCATGCCAGAAAGTCTCAATGAGATTAAAGTCCAGACTTTACCTTTTGGTTTGGTTTGGTTTGTTGGTTGTCTTTTGTATCCAAGTCTTGGGGATCATCAAGATGTTTTCTGGTAAATGTGAGACAGTCGCTCTGTTCTTTTCGGTCAGCAGTGGTTTGCTTGTTGGAACTCTCCCATGGATGCCATTTTTTTTTCTCTTAGTAAATTAAATCATCATTTAAAAACTGCATTGCTTTTACATGGGTTATCTTCAGAATCAGAATCTTTTTCTAATGTCAAAATTTGTTTTATGATCTGAATCATTTAAGAGGGAGAAATTTGGGGAATAACAAAACTATGAAATCAGGAAGGGGGTAAATGGTTTTCACAGCACTGTACAGACTTTTTATTCTTTTTCAGTTAATGTAACCTCTTCCTGTGGCATATTGAATGGGAAGAGCATCCCATTGTAAATATATCATGTCCACTATCTTGTTTATGTCAGATTTTTGTTAACTAAATAATGAGATGTGTGTGAATGTGAATGGGCTTACTGTCTCTGTTTTAGTCTTTTGTTTTTTTCTTTTTTCATGTATTTTATGTACACTGTGACGTGTTTCAGTGAGTGACCCTTCCCCCCACTAACTGTCTTTATGTTTTAGTCACTTCAGATTCACAACTTACTGTGAATCACGTTCACTGTATGTTCACATGTCCATCCACTCTTAATCAGAACTGGTTCTTTTACCCGCTCTGATTGGAACAATGTGATGACTAATGTTGGATGGTAAGACTTTGTAATAGCCATTGCTAATAAACCACAAATTGATTGTTAATTAATCTTTACTAAACGGTTAATTTACTAGAAACAAACAATGATTTGTTTTAGTGTTAATGAAGTTATAACTTAGATTTAGTAGCTGTTACATTATGATGTCACCAACACAAGCAACATTTTATAAACTTCTGTTATGTGTTTATTGCAAAACTGCATTAGCATTTCGGTAATGATTAACCTGCCTGTTTTCACTCCCGGGGGATTAAATGCTGCTGTTTATTCAACTGTGCAGGTGTCTCACATGTATGCACAAGGTGTCCTTTAGCCTTGGTCTTATATTGGTTCCTTGAATATTTACCCAAACCACAATCTTTTCATAAACATATGCAGTATTTTGAGGGCCTGCACCAAACCAAACAACAAATGTAAACAGCAAGTGACAATAAAACTACACACCGACAGAGACGTCACTGTCCAGGTTCCCAACTCTTATGATTTTTAGTCCACTAGTATCCATCCTTAGCAATGGTTATCATGAAGTGTTATCTGGCGGCTAATCCTTCTGTTTCCACAATTTTTAAAAAATATATATATTATGTTAAGCCAATGTTATAGAGCTTTACAACCGTAAGTAGTGTAGGTTTTGTCTGCTGTTGGTGATTTTCTTACACTCCCTGTTTCTGGGTTTTGGGTCGCTCCTAGGGCCAGGTTCTTTCTCACGCAATGAATGGAAGTACTAGCCATCCACATAGGCCGCTGTCTCCCCCGTCATATCCTCCACCTCCTGTCTCACTCCACACGGGGCTTCAGAGACAGAGCAGGAGTTCAGGTGAGTCACTATCTGTGGTGATATATGACATGCCTAAAAAGATTGAAAGACATTAGACTTAAGACTACACAAGCACATGCAGAAAATAGAACCTAAGTTCAGTCAGATAATTGAACTGAAACCTCTCACAGAGGAACAAACGTTACATCATTGCTTACATCATTGTAAATGTAAAAGGATCTTTACAGTGTAACTGTAAACGTTAAGATGCCAAGTAAGGTGTATGTATCTATGTCTCAGGATTCACATATAATCTATATCTGTAGCAGTCTATCCATTACAAACATTTAACTGGAGCTTGTGGAGGACCTGTATTACTAACACGTCTGTCTCCTCTTTCTCTGCTTCCTTCTCGGATCCAGAGGGCAGTGAAACAGTCACCAGAGAGTCTGTGGTGTCAGGGCACAGCAGCACTGTGCCCATTGCCCGTTTCTCAGAAGAAGAAAAGAAGGTGTCGGTCATTAAAGCCCCCCACTACGAAGGCATCGGCCCAGTTGATGAGTCAGGCATTCCTATCGCCATCCGCACGGTGAGAGAACTCGTACAGGGAGCAAACACATTGCTTTCCAGTAGACCTGCTCTCGTAGATGCTGTAGTAATGCAGAGGAGTTTCTTTGAAGCCATTTTCTCCTGCCTCCTTGTGTGAACAGGTTTTTTAAGCAAGGAATTACTTGAAGCTGTCAGCAGCTTTTGACCCCATGTTCAAAGACTCTCTCCCGCTCTCACTATCTCAGTTTCGCTTCCTTCTGTGTGCTAGTCATGAAGATGAGCTCAAACAAGGTCTTTGCTTTGGTACTACAAGGTCCTTGCTGATTACTTGTCAAGGAGCGTGTCCCTGTGTGTTATCTCTGTTAAGGCTTTCCGTGTATTAACACTTCACTCAGTTATTGGTTGGTTGAAGAGCAGCATTTAAAGGAATGCACGCTGAGCTACAAAATGAGAGAAAGAGAAATGGGGAGAATAAGAGACGAGCAATAAACGAAAAGAGTTGAAAAGAGACGAAAGCAGGAGAGAAGAAAAACAGATGCTCCTTGTTTTAAGCGGGCAAACATTTTTGTGGCCACTCTGTTTGGTAACCGTGGAGAGTGAAGTGGTAATTGGCGCGTCTCTTGGCTGTGCCAGTGCTGCGTGCACAGTCACACGCTCTTTCTCTGTGGAGCCAAACTGCCTCCTCTCTGACCGGAATCCAGGGACATTGTTTAGTGCTACTGAATAAAGAGAGGATTAAGTCTCTCTGCCATTTGATGGGTCTTTTTTTAAGTGTCTGTTAGATCTATACTGTTTACACAAAGGCACACATACCAGGGTCTCTCCTTGATTCTCCAGCCACAGCAAGCAGAGCCCCCACTTTGTACCAACAAGGATTCGACACCTTTGTGGTTCAAAACTGAACCTGCTGAGGCAGCTTGACTCGAACATACGCACTGATAGTCATACCAAAACAAACTGACATAGTAGTCATTCAGGTAAGTGATAGTGTGTCATTTGTGGCTATTTAAACTATGCATTTAAATATTCTGACCTTACATAAACGTCATGTTTTTTTAATTGCTCACTTTAAGATCTCAAAGTCATAGTTATAAAGAAGGACCCCACAGCCCTACTAAGGGCTGCAGCAAGTGTCTGATTTTAGAATATTACAAAAGTAGTTGCCCATGCTACAGTATCGTTTGTCCTGCTGACACTTAATCACACTGAGAAAAGCATAAAAAAGGAGTGGTAAATACAGGCCATATGCTAATAACGGATCATTTTAGCCCATTGCTAAGTAATGATGTCATGTAATAATAATGTATCATGCATAATTTGAGTTTTGTGTATATCTGTTGAATGTTATTCTCATGAAATTAAACCTATGAGATGATTTTATAAGGTGTTATAGGCACAAAATGCTAAAAATTGGTAATTTTAGCCATTTTGTTTGCTTGCAAAAATGACGATATAATAGTTGATATAACCAAAAAATGTCCTAAAGGTCTCTGAGGAATATGCAGACACAAACAGAGGTTCCACATATTATCCACATATTTAAACATTATCACTGCCAAATATTCTAAAAATCTGTTTTTTCACAGCTCTTGTGTTTCTTTTCATATGAATATTCAGTGTAAGTTCTTGGTGAGACTTGTATGGTTACTGAATATTATCAAAATTTCTGTCTAAACAAAAGACTATCTTAACCTTTTAACAAATGTCAAGTGAAAAACAGTTATACAAGTTACAAACACACTATATGTGAAAAGCAGCCATACAGAGCAGGAGTTGTGTGAATAAAGCAACTTTAGCCAGTGGTCAGACACTAGCCTGATATTTGATGTAGGGATGCACCAACTAAACGTTGGCCAGGGTTTCATAATTAGTGCTTACTTAATTTAACGGGTTTGTTTGTTTAATCAACAGAAAACGACAACACACAAGTGGCCATGACAGAATAACCTTATTGGCAAATACAAATATTTCTCTTGGATAAGATGCAATCTTGGTTTTATTCTTTATATTAGTTATGGTTATATTAGTATTAGTCTGTTTATATTAGTTAAATTATTTATATTAGTTATATTATCCCTGTGTGAAGTATAAATGCTTCAAAAGGCTTACTGTGTTTTTTCAGCTCTAGAATGTCCAATAACATGTTGTGAGTCCGTTTATAGTTTCTAAATTCAGCCTTCACATTTGTGTTACATTTAACGGCACATAACTCTGGTTATTTCTTTGTCTGCAGACGGTGGATAGGCCCAAAGACTGGTACAAAACTATGTTCAAACAGATTCACAAAGTTCACAAAGCAGGTAAGGCCTCTGCTGTAGCGTGCTGAAATGATGTGCAACGACTAGATTATTAGACATTTCATGCAGAATTGGTCATGTATGCATGCTGTTTGTATGCGTGTGCATATTTTGTGTGTGTGTCTGTGTGTTTGCATGCCAGTTCTCATTAAACCAATTGACCCAGATGATCCCAGAGCCAGAGCTCGTTAGATTGCGAGCAACAGCCTGGAGAGGAGGAGGAATGGAGAGAAACCTCTAATAGACACAGAGCCATCCTGGGAAATCTGCTCTAATTTTGTGGGCTTGACAGAATCACAGAATCAGTACAACGCTTGTTTGTTCTAAACTGCTCAGCCTTCTGCTACAAGAGCACACACAAAAAACTCATGCACTCTCAGATACACAGACTATTTCATGGGTGTGTGCGCTGAGAACTCATCCAAAGGCTCATTATGGTCTTGATGCATTTTATTTTTGTGATTTTACTGGAAGCACAGGCAGTAGAATGCTTTCCCCATCCTGCAACCTTGATTCGTTTTAGTCAGAATTTCAGTCATCTTTCATCTTTAAAGTTCAGAAAGAGTTCTGGGAAAGTGGATCATGTTGCTTTGGTGCTTTTAATATACTTGTAGCTGAAAAGAAAATCACTTGTGTAACTGTTCATTTCCAGGCTGGTTAAAAGTGCTATCTTTGAGGACAAACTTGTACCCTGTGTACAACAAAGTGTGCTTACACGTGTTCCCAATCAACTGTTTTGTACATTTCCTCTACAGATGACGACTATTCCGACACATACAATGCTTCATATGCTCTCGTAAACAATGGTGAGACCTGCTCCTGTGTAACACAAGTTGTATTTCCTAAAAATCAATAACTTCTTCCCAACCTTCCTTTCTGGCTTACTGGCCTCATTGCTTCTGCCTCCACTCTCTCCTCCATCCTGTCCTTGCCAGATAACTACAGCCTGTCATCCAGCACCACCATGGCCCACCCTGCCCCTCGGACACATACGTACAGGCCTCTGTCCAAGAGCCCCTCGGATAACAATGAAGGGCATCTTGGACCTCGGGAGCTTTCACCATCCCCTGTACCCCCACCACCTCCACCCATGCCATCCCTTCTCCAACTGAGGGCGAGAGACAGTGATCGCGAGAGGGACTTGACAGACGCGTAAGTGCAAACTTTCTCAATATTAACTAATATTGATGATATATTGATATGCTGTAATATTTTTAATAATCTTTATTTTAATGTCAGTTATCTCAAGCGTTTTTTTCTGAAAAAGCATGTGTTTGTTTCTCTCACACCAGCAATGAATGGGGTCCTCCAGACCGAAAAGTGGACACACGAAAGTACCGCGCAGAACCCAAGAGTATTTTTGAGTACGAGCCTGGGAAGTCCTCTATCTTGGAGCATGAAAGACCAGTGAGTAATTTTTTTTTATTTTATTTTTTTTTAAATACTGAAATTCCCACCCCTCTTAAAATATGCAGAGAAATGCCTCCCTGTTTATCTTCACCCTGGCATCGTGTGAGAACATCAAGTGACTTCCTCACAGTGTTTCTTGGTATCGTTTGGTAGAAGATTAAATAATTCAGTCACTGCTCAGGCTGTTTTTAGAGTGAAAAAATAGTCACAAGCAAGAGCGCTTTTTTTTTTTTTTTTTTTTTTTTTTTTGGAAACTTGCTAGTCTGGTAGACAGACATTAGTATGTCATTATATTGTTGGCTTTCACATGGCTCTTCTTCTGTCAGAGACAATGTGGGCGTTAAAAGCTTCCAGTGCTTACATCCGCTAGCGACAGTACTCAGTGTTAATGTTTGTGTGGGGTGAAGGACAAAGCAGATAGCAGGAAAAAAATGCAAAAACTGACTGTGTTGACAGGCGGGACTGAAAAAAATAGTATTTGAGATTAGGACGGAATAATGAATAATGTGTTATAAATGAGTTGTGTTTGCAAAAAAAAAATGGCTGTTTCGCAGATGTTTTATGTGATGACTGCTGAGAGTGCTCCCAGGGCAATAATGCATGAGTCACTTCCTGATAGACAGAGGTAATAAAGGAGAAAGCTGTAGAAGGACCCACGCTGTCTAATGTGCTGCTCGGTATAATTTTTTTTCTCCATTAACCAAAGTAAAAAAGTGTCACCCCTAAAACAACCTGTATGTTGATGACGCCCCCCTTTTTGGTAATTATGGCCTTTAAGAGGCAAAAAATGTTTTTCTGTTACTCTTGTTCTTTAGATGTGTGTGTGCAAGTGTCCCTAATGCATTTGTGTGATTGGCAGTCTCTGCTCCAGGCTTCTGTTTTGTTTTTTTTTCCAGGGTGACTCATCCATCTGAAAGCTGAATTTTCTTTTAAGCCAGAGATGTAGCACTACAACACCTACAAAACATCTCCTGGCAGTTTTTCATTTGGCATGAAAACTCAATTTTATGTGGGATTGGGGTTAGAAAGAGCAGACAGCGTGGTAAAACACACAATGCCATCTCTACAGTTCAAGTAACAGTAAATGGAAACAAATCAAACAAGCTGACCTTTTATTAAAATGTGTCTTAAAAGGCATCAAGACATACAAGAAAACTAAGGCAACTAAAACATTAATATGGACATCATTTTAAAACGTGAAAAACATCTAAATGTTGTCTTTTTTCATTCACAAACATTCACTTCTGAGTGGTTCATGGTGCTGTTTGTGTTTGATGTTTATAGACTGTATAAATGCATACAGCAGCACAAAAGCGTAGTCAGTTACAGTTATTATTTACATGTTTAGCCTGAGCCCTTTTTGGATTGTGGCAGTTTGTTGCTCTAGACTGACTGACCACTGTACTGTAGGAGTGAAACTTGAGCTGTAAATGGGCTCTGCTGCAACACTTTTGTTTCCATGGGCAAGCCTTCATCCTGGTTCATCCTGTGCCCATCTCCCTTTGCCACCTGTGCCCATTCCTAACCACGAGGACCATGTCTCTCTTTGTGTGTGACTTCTTTCCACACTTCCTTTCTCCTGTCTTTCTTCTACTTCCTCTCTCTGTCACTGTCATGCTTTCCCAGACCTATGATGACATAGATTTAGAGAACGAGCCTTGGTATAAGTTCTTTTCCGAGCTGGAGTTTGGGCGGCCGGTAAGTCAGGGCCTAGCTACTCCTTTAAACACAACTCTGTCATAGGCATACACCCACTATCTCCGCTCCACCCGGGACTTTTTCTTAATGTCTGTGCTATTAGATTGGGTGGGGCTAGTTGTTTGGGCATGTGATACTTGTTTGGTGCTTGTTTGGTGCCCCCTTCCTTACCCCCAAAACACCTTTGTGACAAACTGCAGTTTATCGCTCTGCTGCTGGGGTTTTTGGTTCTTTGACTAGCAGGCACTAAAATGCTCCCACGTGAACCTGGACACTTTTATTTCAGTTGGTTCATTTCTGCATCTTGTTCAAAAATAAGCAGGAAATGGTTTAAAGGCAGTGGCCTCCAAACGTTTGAGATAACTTGAGGTCATGAACAGTCAAAACATTAATAAAAAAGATGCAGTAGCAGAGATTAGACTGATATTTACTTTTTGCTCTAAACTCTTTCTTAAATAATTTGTGTAATTTTGTTCAGTATCTATCATACAGTACTTTGCGAAAGTCTTTAGCCACTTCTAAATTCTTCATATTTAGCATCTAAGAAGCCAGACTTTCTTGTAATTTCTTTAGTTCTCTGGGCTTTCTGAAGTTTTTCTTTGGACATTGGCTGCTTTTTCAATCTGCTTTTTCATTCCAGTCATTCTGCCTCACCATTTTTCATTCAAGCATGAAACAGGCTCCTAAGTCAAGGAATGAATCAGTGTTGTCTCTACACATATGACAACTTGGAAAAGAACCAGTTTTAAATATTACATTTAGGCACTTTGTTACTAGCAGCCTGTCACGAAAAACACATAATTTGTTCCCATTTCTTTAGCTAAATCCATGAAAATAGTTGACAGGCATAACAACATACTATTGTTGTAAAACTTGGTGTGCAGTGTGAGTTTTAAAAATTTCTAGGAAACTGGACAAGTTGGGGACAAAACAAGAAATGACCTAAGAAGGCATAAAAAAATGGTTACAGCTAAAAGTCATGTCCTCGAGAAGTAGGAAAAAATCAGTAAAGACCTGACAAGACCTGAGAGATGCAGCTAATCCTTCAGCTGATTGGCAGCAGGCTTTATAATCATGAATCTGAATTTGAAACTTTTTGTTCACAAATTGTAATCAGTATGTACAGAGGAGGTCTAGAGAGAGGTACAACAGTGTCTGCAGCCATCTATTAAACACAGTGGAGGCACTGTCATGGTTTGGGGCATTTCAGCCTGTGGTATTGGGAGAAAGCGTCTGGTGGCTTAATTTTTCAGCATGATAATGACCTCAAAAGCAATGCCAATGCTGTAAAAGCATACCTAGGAAGTAAAACACTATCAGTTATGTATTGGCCTTCCCAGAGCCGGGACATTAATATTAATGAAGCCTTGTGGTATCATCTTGACAGAGAACAAAACAAAAGGCAGAAACACTGAAAAAAGAGCTGCAGCCTGGAGAACTATTGCTGAAGTCTACTTAAAGAAATGACAAGAAAGCTGCCTGAGAGAGTTCAGACTGTGGTGAAGAACATAAAGAATAAGAATGGCTCAAGACTTTTGCGTAGTACTGTACATGCCAGTATTTATTTGTCAATCTGCCTTTACATACCCTGTTTATTCATTTGATCCCTGCAGTACTATGAGGGAACTCTCTGCATACTTTGAAGCTAAATGCTTTAGTGCCCTCTGATGGATGTAAGTGGTAATAATGTCATAGTGACTTGAAACAGAGATCGCCTCCAGTCATAAATGTGGGATCAAATTACCCACAACCTGTCTGATTTACAAAGTGTCACATGGACATGCCTCTGTCCATGCCAGCGCATGACATCAGGTGCTGACTTGCTGGGCTTATTCGAAATGTTCAGGTGAAAATTTCACATTCAGATCTGGCATGACTTTCTGTCTTCTCACAGTCATGTTTAGCTGTTTTGTGAGATTTCTACCTGCAATGTTTTCACTGTTTCACATCACTCAATAAGCCCTTAGAGTGTAGACATTTTATCTGACTGATACGGCCACGGTCAGAACCACACACTGTGTTCAGTTTTCGATTGAGGCGATAAGTCACAGCATTTGATTGTGCAAGTCCTTGCACTCTCAAAGAAACACAATGTCGCAGCTTGTGCTTCACTTTGCTTTTTGCTTACAGCTTGTTCTTACACTCTGCATGTGTGTGTGGTAAATAGGCACAGTTGCGTGTGTTGGTGTGGTTTATAGGCTGGTGTAGTAGGCCTGCGTTGTTTTAGCCTCGACAATCTGCAGTTTAAGGGAAAAAACTAATAAATAGAATACATTAGAAAGTGTATATCAAAGAACGTGTGTGATGAATAGATATATGTAGGTGTGTGTCAATGTGTTGGTGTAAGTGCACACGTGTCTGATACAAGCAAATCACATGTGCTGTGGTTGTCTGGTTACTCAGGTTCTCTAACAGGTGTTACTCTCTCCACATGTTTTTTTTTTTTTGTTTCCCCCCCATGATGTCACCACCGCTTCTCCTCCTTCACCTCCTCCATCTTCACCTTCTTATTCCTCCTCCTCTTCTCCTCCCCTTCCTGCTCACTGCTGCTGCTTGGGGCTCAAGCCTCCTAAAAAACGGCTGGATTATAATCCAGACATCTCCGCTCGCCAGCGCATTGAGGTAATCTCACATTCACAAGTGTTCCAGTAGTGTTAATTGTACCATTTCTAACCCGTCACAGCAATCAGGATCTCGATTGCTAAGACATATTTAAGATACGACTGCTAAAAATGAATGTACTGTGAGTTTAAATTAAAATGCTAGCCATTTACTAAAATTTGAGTGGATTGTTTTGTGAAGGCTGTTGAACATTTGAAGCTTTGAAGTGCTGGTTCACGTCATTCTTTTTTATCAGCCTTTGGTAACATTACAGTATGAGCTCAAAACTTTAGAAAACCAATAGATGCTTCAGACATAAGTGTCCACCCATCATTTTTCTCAATCCAATTCAGTCTAGTTCATGATCATGGGGGTTGAGGACTTGCACCTACCCAAGTCATCATAGGGTAATCACACATTTATCCCAGTATAAATGTGATTGCAATCGATGCTGTTGATTTCCCTACTTTTGTCATCAGCGTTGAACACTCTATACCACTAAGACCCATTCCAGCTGATCCATGCCAGTTTTTGCAGGGTAACATTTGCCCCCCTGAGCTGAACCTCCATAACACCCTTCAGTGCATCACCTTTTCCATCATCCTTCAGAGCAGCACGACAGAGACCAGAAATTTGTCTTCGGTATGTGTGCACCAGCAGGGCCTCTTCTTGGTCAGGTGTGCCATGTGGAACCAGCATCCATTGCGCCTTACGCTGGGGGAGTGTTTTGAGTGTGGCACAGCAACAACCGCATGCAGGCTGTGTATTGTAAGCTGCTCTGCCTCAAGTCTTTGTTCCTGCGGGGCTCACTTTTCTCTTTTGTTGTCTGCCCTATTCCAGACATCCCTCCACATCACTCCTGCTGACAAGGCTCCAGAGAGACCTGCAAGGTAACTGCTGCTTCTTTTATTTTCCTCTGCATCACCCTCATCCCCTCTTCCCCCTCCCCCATCCTTTCACCAGCAGCTGTCCTTGTTGTGATTCAGCTCAGTAGAAAAACTAAGGTCTTTCTCATATTGTCGCTCGCACAAACATCCCGTGCGTGTGCAGTAAATGATGACTTGTGAAGTCTTAATTTTGCTTTTGTCACTGATGGTAGTGCGCTTTGCCTCGTTTTTGTTTTTTTTGTTTTTCACGAGCTGAGCCAGAATAAATGAACCCAGCAAACCTATTGATGCTGCTCTTCACCTCCTGTCCTTCCCTCAACCCCCATTCCTCCCCTCATCCCACTCCCTTTCATCAATGGCCTGCTTATTCAGATGCATTATACTCTGTGAAGAGAGAGGGCAGAGCGGGGATGTGATGAATAGGCCGGGTCATTTATTTAACTGTCCTGAACAGAAAGCCCCCTTGGATTTTTAACATTTAAAACTCAAGTTACTTTATTCCCTTTGTTTTGTTTTTGGATTTAAGTATAATCTGGTACTTTGTATGATGATCTTAGATATACTGGAAATGTATTCAAGGTTTTCATATTGATCATAGTGATTTTAACATTCTCTCAATATATAAAACCTATAAAGTATTATATGTAAAGTCAAAGGAGCTTGCAAAGAAAAGCGTCTGGACTTCAAGCAACTTAAAGAAGTCCAGACGCTTTTCTTTGCAAGCTCCTTTGACTACGATGACCTGGATGACTGAGAACCTTCACAGACATATTCTATGTAAATTTAACATCTCCTTTTGTCAGTAGCATCATTTCTTACAAAAGAGGTTATTTCTTAAAACTACTGGGTTACTTTTAATTTATTTATTTTTTGCCTGTTGTCAATTCAACTACTCATGACTTTGGTAAATAAACAGTGCTCCCACAGGAGATTTATAGTGTCTGTATTCGCCTTCTGCAAACTGGATTCACTGACTGTTTGGCCCATTCTTTATTGTAGTGCTGCCAGTGACTACAGGAAGAGAAGGAAGTCTGAGCCGTCAAGCTCCCAAGTGAATGCTCCATCTCAGAGCCGAGCTGCAACTTCCCCTAAACCAGTGGATGCCTACAGACCCAGCAGCAGCCTAAAGAAACCCGTCATTCGTTCCTCACCATCCTCACCCTCCAGAGCCAAAGGTAGCCACGCTTTCACAGATGCAGCTTCTTTCACTTCTGGGTTTTTCATGAAAAGAGATATTTTTTTGTATTTTGCTGTTTGGCAAAGCCAGAAGAAAGTTACCATTACTGTTTAGCCACCAAAGGCTCACCCTAGGTCAGGTTGTGTTTGTTTTCCCTTCTTTTCCCAACACATGCATGTGAACTGTGCTTATATGATTTTGTTGGGTTTTTTGCAATATGATGCCTTTCTGGTATAAACCTTAAAGTTCACTGATTGGTGGAAGTCTGAAGGAAAAAAAAAAGAACATCAAGTCATCTGTTTTTTCCATCCATTCGTCTCTCCTGTTTATTCTCCCTCTCCCCAGCTCTTCTACTGTTTTGCTGGGTATTATTTCTTAACTTGCTTTCCTCCTTCTTCTCTCTCACCACGCTGCTCTCTATTGGACATCTAAAAGGTGGGGACGCATGCAGCATGTATTCAAACAGTTTGACCTCTCCAGGTCCTTATCAGCAGCCCTTTGTTCCCCCAGTCCCATCTGACCCTCTCAATTCAAATGAGGATGGCAGCCAAGATGGCAGCTCTTCCTCCAAACAGTCTGTCTGTTGTAAGAACAGCTGGCAGACAAAACGCCAGAATGCTGAGACGTGGAGCAGTGCAGAGGAAGCGCCAGCTTCTCCTGCCAAGCTAAAGTCACGCAGTTGTGATGACCTACTCAACGATGGGCGTTCTAGCTCGGGTGGACGAAATGCTACCCGCTCAGAGAGTGCTGGGTCACTGGTATGCGATGGAAATCTCTCCACAGTATCATCATCTACTCGTTCATTACCCCGTCTCCATCGACGACGAGCACACGACTCGCCGGGCTTTCTCCAGCTCTATCGAAAGATGCACCAGATCGACAGAGCTCAGCTAATTCCATCTGAAGTCATCCGGTCGGTCCGTGCGCGCATCCTGGATCTAGAGCGTCAGCCTCATCTGCTTCGGCATCGCCTCTCTCCTTGGACACCCTCCTGGGGTGTGGAAGTGCCACGTGATATGGTGCCAAACCGCATTTCTGAATATGAGCGTCTTATTCAGAAATCCAAATCCATGCCTAACTTGGGTGATGGCGAGGTGCCTTCAGGCACCACTACACCAGGTGGCTCATCATCTCGAGCTAGCAGTGGTGGTGGTGTCACACCCAGTTATCCAAAACGCCGTTTTTCAATAGAGTCTTTACTGGAAGAAGACAACAATGGAAACAGTGGAACAGTACCTCAAACCATGGATCACTTACACCGACCTCGTAGCCCCCCTGAGGGACAGCCTCGTGTTGGACCAGACCCCGGGCGTGGACGGTCCTTCCCCGCTCCTCCTGTTCTCCAAGGCCCCCAAGCCAACCCAGACTATTCTGACAGTGAACAAGACGCTGTTGCCTCTGACCTCAGTGACTTCATTCAGGTTGAAGGCTCGTCATTTTGCAGTGAGAGTGACTTTGACCATTGCTCACTAACCTCCTCTGAGAGCCTATACGGCTCTTCCACCCTCCACCACCATCACCACCACCTCCGTCACCACCACCACCATCACCACCATCATCCTGGTCACCAGAGTCTTGGCCAGAGCCAAGGCTACCAACACCGCCATCTCATCAGCACCTGCAAAGGCCGCTGCCCGGCTTCATACACCCGTTTCACAACCATGATACGTCATGAGCGGGAACGCGCGCGACAGGAGCACCAGAGACCTTCACAGCAGACCCGCAGCAGCCATTCCCAAAACCAGAGCTCACAATCCCAGCAATCGATGTCCAAGCTGGCCTTCCTGGTCAGTCCAGTGCCTTTCCGCAGGAAAAAGGGCTCACCACCTACCTCTAGAAGATGCAGTGGGGGCGGAGGTCGAGGTAGCAGACCCAAGTCTAAACAGGCAATTTACGAAGCGCTAGATGCAGCCTTGAGAGACATATATGAGCACATTCAAGCAGAGAGAGGCCACAGAAATCCTCGGGCACCTGATGATAGCATTCTGAGAAGAATCTTGGCAGAACTGCTGCCAAATGTGCCAGAACGCAGCTCCTCGTTGCGGGGAAGGAGGGGGTGTTGGCACGGCGGTCACTCCTCTGCATCGTTGTACCCAGACAGTAGCCCCACTGGGTATGCCTCATATAGAGGAGAGCCCTCAACACCACGGTTACAGTCACCACGGATACAGTCACCAATCAGTGCCTGTTATGGACGACAGTTGGAGACCTCAAACAACAATGATTATGGAGAGGAGCAGGGCAATGGAAATGGTCTCTGTTACTCAGGTGGAAATAACACACATGTAACACCTCAGATACACACTACACTTAGCAGTCACTTAACATGAGTGTGTTTCACAACAAATACATGCATGCATACAAGCAGAAATACACGAAGGCACATATACATCCACTTACATTTATCTCAGTGTCTCTTTCAGTTTTGTCTGCACTCGTTGCCCAGTTCTCCTCATTGATCTGCCGACACTTCCATTACCATGCTTTTCTGTTTAATTGTATGGCATTGATTAAGACCCATTTACTGTAAATTCTCAAGACAAATCTGGCTATTTGTTTATTTTGTTAAGTTAATGTGAGTGAAGCTTCCTGCTATTTTTTTTTAGTAAAATAAGAGGACAGTGCTTCTGCTTTAATTTGAAACACTGCACAGAATGTGGAGTTTTATTGGCAGATCCTCAATTAACAGATGAAGAAAACAGTGGAGAAGCTGAACTATTACAGTGAAATAGTACAAAAGTACAGTGAGGGATACAAATAACATGGTCCAAGTATAATAAGTCTGTTTTAGCACTGATGAAAAGGGTTTGAAACAGGAGAGGGATTGTTTCAAATGCTGGCTTTGTTTTCTGCAATTTTGGAAGACAGATATTTGAGAATTTACAGTATATTGCTCTGTAATCCTGTCTCAAAGATGTAATATTTCTTTACACCTTACTTTTAGGCTCCTAATGAACGAGTCATTAACTGGATTTTGGAGTTTGGCTATACAAATAATTGAATTCTCTCACCAGAAGCCGAGGTTTACGTGTAGACTTGAATTTATAGTTGGGTTTAGGCAGTGATAAAGCTTGTTTTGTGTCTCAAATCACAAAACAGAACAGGATGTGTAGTTACTTCAGGTGGATATTGATCAGACACTTTTGTTTTAAATGTGTTGTCAGTGAATGTGTTCAAAAAATCTACTTTCATGTTCAGAGTAAGAAATAATAATCTGGTTACAGTTTCCTTCAAACTGAATTTGTTATTTCAGTTTATTTGTAAAGAAATATAACTTCTAAGAGACAAGGTTGATGTTTGGGGTAAATTGTTGTGAATGTTCCTTTTTTTTTTTAATGCATTTTGTTTTTCTTGTATCATTTGTCTGTTTCAAACATTTATTTATAGTTATCGCATTATTACCAGGTCATTTTCTTTCCCGTAATCCTTTTGATCCTACGTTTTTGTTGTTTGCCATATTTTTTTGCTCTGTATTCCCCGTGTTTCATTTTGTTTTCCGGGTATTTTGTAGCATCGCATGTGTCTATTTGTGCTGTTGTCCAATCACCTTGTTTTCTCCAATGAAAAACAAATAAAACACACCTGTTTATGACCCAAGCTTCCATTCCCTCATTTACCTGTTTGAGTGGCATCATCACTGTTTCCCAGATCACACTTTGTATTGTAGGTGATGTGGCATGTTCGCTTAGTAACTCCTGTGAACCTTTTCATGTGTCTCTGCTAATCACAGACCAGGACATCTCCAGGAGTTCCACACTGGATGGACGCCACACACCCCAGAACAGAAGACCCACTCCTGACAGAGAGGTACAACATTGGAACTGGTGGTGCACTTAACACATTTATACACGGTGCATTTCTCTCAAATAACATGTAATCAATGTGCTCAAAAGGGTAACGTCTTTGTCTTTAATTTCCCAGTTCTGTAGCACATTGATATTTCTATTTATTCTTAAAAATTCAAAATAATTATGTTACATACGTGTTTCATATACCTGGTAATGCTTGTGGGCTTTCTTTCTCTCACTCCACTCTTTTAGGTCTCCCATAAACAGATGACACAACTTATTCTGTTCTCTCTCCTCCATCAGAAACAACCTGCAAGAGCCATTTATGATTTTAAGGCACAAACGAGCAAGTGAGTACAACAAGCTTAGAGTGCACGCGTGAGAGAGCCGAGTCTAAGAACGCAGACATCTAACTGCACGTCCGCAAACTCAATGTCCTTTATTTACATTTTGTAGTTGTAATATTGCTTTCATGTATACCAGTATAACACCTTACCACCATAATCTGATGGGGGTTTTTTCTTTTAGATGTATGCATGAATAAAGCTGCTTTCTGCATTGCTGTCTCTTATTATTTTGCTCTTATTACTTATATTATTTTGCTTTCCTGGCTGACATTTTGTCACCGATGCTCGTGCTGCAGAAGTCGCCGTGTCTTGTTCAGCTGCTATGTTATGTCCATGCAGTGGATGAAAGATGCATGCAGAGGCCCTTCACTCATAAAACTGTGTTACAGGGAGCTGACATTTAAAAAGGGTGATGCAGTGAACATCATCAGGCAGATAGATAACAACTGGTATGAAGGAGAACACCGTGGGCGAGTGGGAATATTCCCTATAGCATATGTAGAGGTAAGTCGGCTGCTGATTTCTGGTCTGAATATGGCTTGGTTGTATTTGAATATGCATCTCCTCCAACATGACACGCATACAGGTTTACACCATTTTTCACACATTTACAGAAGATGCCGTCTTCAGAGAAGCAGCAGCCAATCCGTCCTCCTCCTCCAGCACATGTCAGAGAGATTGGAGAGGCAGTGGCCCGCTACAACTTTAACGCTGATACTAACGTGGAGTTGTCACTGAGAAAGGTATTTCAACTTAAAGCATGTTTATAATGTTTTTGTCATTGATTTAAATATTTGAAGTGCTGGCTTTTGCAGTTATATCTAAAGGTAAAGATGTTACTAAATTGTAGTAAAAAAAAATGCAGTCCTCTGAAGAACTAAATTCCCGGTATTCTCTGTTCCATAGGAAGGAACTTCTAATCAAATGCAGTTTGATAAAGCAGACATATTGTATAAATTCCTCTATTCATATCAGATTTGAGGCCTAAAGCTAGGCCAAAACTGAGCCATGCAACAGGACAATGATCTTAAGCACAGCAACAAATTTATAACATAAAGGCTGAAAAAGAAAAGAATCAATGTGTTACAATGATTGAGTCAAAAGCAAGAAAGTGCATAATGATATGCGCATAAATTGATGACAAAGAACTGAAGCAACGCCGTTAAGAAGAGTGGGACAAAATGATGTAAGATTACATGGGGAAAAAGGCCACATTGTGGTTTAAGTAAGTGTGAGAGGACCTGCTGTGGGGTCCTGTTCATTCCACCGTTCCCGATTTGCAGCTAAGTGCCTTGTTTGTGTGTTGTTGGTGTGTCTGATGTGTGCAGGGTGAGAGAGTGATTGTGATAAGGCAGGTGGATCAGAATTGGTATGAGGGGAAGATCCCAGACACAACCAAACAGGGGATCTTTCCTGTGTCCTACGTTGACCTTGTCAAACGATCTCCATCCAAAAGCTCCGCCCATCACATAGATCCACATGGTTACCCCAGCAACAGGACACCAAGCTCCACACCCGTCAAGGTAAGAGAGTCTAGAGCCTGCTTACTCGTCAAGCCACAAAAAACAATAGAGCAACTTCAGATCAGATTTGTGCCTTGAAGATATTGATTAAGTTATACTTGAACTTGGCTTTTATTATTTATTTTATCAAAGTTATAAGTAATCAGAGCCTAATTATTGTTAAATTACATTGTTACTGTTTAAAATCACGTGTTTGTGTGATGGTCTCTTTATTTCCTGTTTTATGCAGTTTTCCTCACAGTTGTATGGGATGTATGTATAGTCAAAGTTTATTACAGAGGACACTGTTTATTTTCAAATGCGCTCTATAAATAAACTTTACTTGACTGTACGACAGTGCAATAATGTAAATAATGCATCTCTTTCAGGGGCTTCATAAATTCATTAAGATGTGATTTTGGAGGGTATTTCTTCATCTTAAAAAAAGCTGTTGGTTATCAACTTGCACCCCAAATAAAAAGAAAATAAAGATCCAAAACGTCCCTCTGGTGTAACGGTAGTCTAGTAATTAGTGAATACTTTAACTATAATAAGTCTTCTGTTCTACCTTGAAGAGTCAAAACGTACATAAAAACACACAGCACGTCTCTGTTCTAGTTTCATAAATCACCCACTGTTCCTTCTTTTTTTGCTTTATTTTCATGGAGCCTTTCTATCATCCACCTCCACCACCCACCACCCACAAACCCCCCTCCCCTCACCCCTCTTTGAGAAGCCTTGACCTGCAAGCCATCACCACCGAGTGGCTGTCCCTCACAGTGGAGCCGTCAGCATCCACTCAAGCTCGCTCCCTCACGAACACCCCTCTGCCGCCCACACCGCCTCCTCTCCCCTCTGACCTTGCATCTCTCCTAAAGGCTCAAGAGCCCAAAGCACTCTCATCTGCACAGCCACAAAAAAGTTTCACCTTGTCATCCCTAGCAACCACAGCCTGCAAAGAATTTTCCAGAACGCCCACTTTTAAAGAGGCAAACCTCAGTTTAGGTCACACCACAGCTGTCTCACCCATCTCCCCCCCTACTCCTCCTCCTCCAGACCCCCATTTCTCATTAACCTCTCCACTGCCTGACTCTTCATTTCAATATAACTGTGGCAGAGGACTGCATATCACTGAGGAAGACTCAAACTTAGGAATTACTACGCCTGAGGTTTTATCAGAGCCGATAAAATCAGCCACACCTCCTGCACAAGAGCACAAATCCACAGTACGAGTAAACAAAAGCAGGGAAACCCCGGACACTAAACTGCAAGTCAAAGACCCTTATGATGAGCTGTTGTGCATGTTTTTGGATGGTTCCAGCAGCACAGATGATGGTGATGTTTTGAGATCATCTCCAGTCGATTCTTCAGCAGCTAAGCTGACCAAAAAGTCCCAAAGCAGGCTCTTCCCATTAAAAGCGGAAGAATCCCATCAGTCGGACGTAAAGCCCCCAGCGGTCACTCCTGCAAGCAACTCAACAGGCAGCTTTCAGTTAGCGGTGCAGCTTCACAAGCCTGTAACAATGGAGCCCCTATGTGTTTCGTGGGGAGAGCAGTCAAAAAATGTGAATGGGCAACGTTTTGACTCACATAGACCACCGTCAGTACAAGCAAAGGAATACACTGAGTTGTTCATTGAAGAAGACGATGAAGCTAGAAGTGAGAAAGAGCAGGATGTTAGAGTTTTAAATCAGATGCACAGCCCACAGGTACAGCATGGTGTGCACTACATCTGTTGAGTTTGGAAATGCTATAGGGCCTTAGAAGGGACATTGAGGAATTAAGTTAATATACTGTATGATGTCATTCCCCGCCAAAATTAGCAAGTGTGTCCCATCGTCCGTTTTTTATGTTTTGTTTTGTTTTCTCCCATCTCCTGCTGCGCGACTGCAAATGCTGAGGCGCATAGTGCGTATAAGTCGCTAGCACTATGCTGACTCATTAACTGCAGAGCTCCAAACCTCTTCTGGCATTAACATCAGCATAGAAACTGTTCACCAGGAGCTTCTTGGCATTGGTTTCCATGGCCGAGCAGCTCCTGTAGGTGCAGTACACCCAGGGTTTTTTTTGTTTGTTTGTTTGTTTGTTTGTTTTTTTGGGGTGGGGGGTGTATTTAGTGTTCAAGAGGCACTTGAGTTCTCTTTCCAGTTTTTTTTTAAATTGTGTTATTTTTGGCATCTGATTTAAAAAATAATACATTATTTTTATTATTGTTATCTAGTCTAGTCTAGTCTAGGGCGCATTATAGACTTGTGTTCTTATTTCCATTCAACACTGATCACAAGATTTTTTGGAAACATCTCATACTCAGTGGAAACTAGTGGATATATTTTTGTTAATTAGGATACTTATCACAAGATTGTTTTTTTATATATATATATATATATAGATAGATAGATAGATAGATAGATAGATAGATAGATAGATAGATAGATAGATAGATATAGATATTATACTTTCCTCCATGTCCCGTCTGGGGTTTAGTAAATCACAAACAGAACAGCTCATCCCGTGATTACACTTTAGTATTCACATGTGTGTCTTTACCCCGTAGGCTGAAGTGTCTCCATCTACTCAGTTTCCCCACAATGGTCCCTCCTCCCCCTCCACACCACCCCCTGTGACCTCCCTGCTTTCCACTTCTTTTTCCTCTGCTTGCCCTTCATCCTCTTTCTCCCACACACAACAGCAGCACAATCGTAGTATCGTCCCTTCCTGTGACCATGCCTCCCCTCGTCCTCCGTCCCTTCCTCAGCTCACAACGTCACTGCTGCCTCCAATTTCTCCATCTGTCTCAACACCTCCCCTCCACTTCCCTCCAGACGATCCCTCTCAGCGGTCTGTCTCTCACCCCTCAAGCTATCCTTTTCTTTCTAGTCCGGTCACGACATGTCCCATCTCAGAGCCAAATTTTCCCCTTCCTCCCGCTAACATTGCCCCTCCACCCTCCACTCAGCGCTGTCCCCCCACTGCCCCAACTGTACCACATCAAGGACGTAGGTCGCCTAAGGTGAAGGTAAAGCTGGCATGTAACGAGTATGCCGTTGATTTGTGGTGATGAGGATGATAAGAACTCTCATAATAGTGTATTTCTCTAACTACTAAGACGTGAACTGAATTGAGAAGTAACTGATTGGTTATATATATCAAAGATTAATTACAATTTATAATCAGATTTATAGATGCAATGCAAGCAGTACTGTTAGTTTCAGGCACTAATTCTCATTATATTAACATGTAAGTACCCAGCTGATGATTTTAGAGGCAGCAGAATACATGCTTGAATACTGGTAATAGAGTTGTGAGCTGTAACTGTACTGTGTTGTGATTAGGAGGCTTTTTATTGACATCAGCATGTTGATGATGTTTTACAGCATGTCTTTAGACTCTCTGTCTGTGTGCAGAGCTCAGAGTCGAGGTTGCTGTTGGTTACTGTTAAAGATTATAGGTGTGTTGCTTCTGGTCTTTCTGCCTGTTAAGCAGGATCCAATTGTTGGTGGTAAACCCCCTCGTAGCCCCATCTTGTCCCGGAGGTCCTATCTGTCACCCGTTAGAGGTCGAAGGGTAGGGGGGCATGTCTTCATTCAACCATGCTCATAGTGCACTCCTGTCTCTGTGCAGGAGGGAGATGTTGGGAATAACCATATCATTCATGACTGATAACGTGCTACAGTATGCTTTTTTTGGTTCATTTCTTTTTGTTCTTTTGTCATATGATGATTTATAATTTCACTTTGTGAGAAGATAAAAATCAAAAGTATCTTAGAGCAAAAAAACTTGCTAAAATCTTTTCTCCTCAAACACTAAACAAAAGCTCCACAAATGGCAAAACACAAATTTGTGTTAATCATTTGTGTTTCTCTCTTTGTCTCTAAAACTCAGCGGTCAGTACAGGATGCACTCCACGGTGGAGGAGATCCGTAAGTAGTATGATTTTTATTTTTTTTTTGAATTGCTATTAACATCTTTCTCTGTGCTTTAAAAGGTGTGTGTGTGTGTGTGTGTGTGTGTGTGTGTGTGTGTGTGTTGGTGTGTGTTTGCGTGTGCGTCTGTGTGCTTCCTTTCGTTACTCACGCCAGCCCTTCGTACACCCACTGTGATCCATCAACAGATTGACCTGTTTATAGATGCAGTGTTGGTCAAGTTACTTGAAAAAAGTAATCAGTAACTAATTACTGATTACTTCCCCAAAAAAAGTAATCCCGTTACTTTACTGATTACTTATTTTCAAAAGTAATTAATTACTTAGTTACTTAGTTACTTTTTAAAAACACGATTTACAACCTGAAGAGGTGATAAAGCGATAGATCTTTCAGCCCAATTCTACTTTTTCTGACATAATCCATCATACAAAATGTAATCAAATGGAAAAGTCTCTTTTTAAAACTTGTTTTATAGTTTTAATCTTTTAACTTTATGCATCAAGCAAAAATTTAATTATATGCAACATTCTCTGACTTGAATAAATTAGTTTAACATTTAAACCTATTTTCTGCACATTCCAGCACATAAAATAAAATATTTTTTGTGTTTACACTCACTCTTTCAAATAGATGCAAGTAAAACACAGCAGAAAATAAATAAAGTCAAAGACTCAGCGGTCCTGTTGCTCTATTTTCACCTGTAAAGCAGGACTGCGGTAGGCGGAGGTTTACCCTGGTGCAGGTGTGCCGCGGTCAGTGTGAAGAATCCGCGAGTTTCTCTGTGAGTTTCCCATTACGTCGTTGCTGCACTCGGTGCTTGCTTGGAAGTTTAGGGGTTTTTTTCGCTGTAAAAAGAAGTTTTCTTCCCACGCACGATGGACGCTAATGTTTTTGTCACTTTTTATGGAATCAAACTCAAAGTAAGGTCAGTACTTCCACGCTTTAAACGCTGCACGCTCATACTCTCTCCCACAATCGATATGTGATCCATTGTTGATCTGCACACAGCTGTTGTCACTAACGGCGCACTCGCTTACGTCACTGTCGTGAGACATTCTCGCAAAAAAATCACGGTTTTAGTAACGCAGCGTTCCTACGGGAAAGTAACTGTAATCTAATTACCGTTTTTGCAATAGTAATCCCTTACTTTACTCGTTACTTGAAAAAAGTAATCAGATTATGCGTTACTGCCCATCTCTGCTTAACAGTGAAGAAATACTTGCCAAAGAATAAAAATCAAATCTTTTCCAACCCAGGTACCAGGCGCTGTACAACTACATGCCTCGCAATGAGGATGAGCTGGAGCTGCGGGAGGGAGACGTCGTTGATGTGATGGAGAAGTGCGATGATGGCTGGTTTGTTGGTAAGATGAACAGACATCAGCCAACAAAAGTAATAGAGATAGAAATACAAAACGCATTGAGCCAAACACATGATGAACTAAAAGTGAGTTTATCACTATATAAGTGTATAAAGTAGTAGAATTATATTGTTACACTTGCCTGCCTCTTCTATAAATGTATAAAATCTAATCATCCAGTCACATGGCAGCATCTCAATGAATTTAGGCATGTAGTAATGATCAGGAGGACCTGATGAAAATTTACAGGATTTTCCCAAATAACCATCTCTGCAGAACAGCCTGAAAAATAGAAAATGGCCAGACTGTTTCCAACTAATAGGAGGTCAGCAGTAACTAAAATAACCACTCATTATAATCAAGTTATGCAGAAGAGCATCTCTGAATACAAAGAGCAGCAGAAGACCATACAGGGACCCACTCCTGTTAACTAAAAACAGGAAACCGATGCTACCATTTACATGGGCTCAGAAAAATTGGACATCAGAAGATTGAAAAAATGATTTCTGCTGCAGCATGCAGGTTGTTGATGTCATTGTGCCAATGTGGATTGGAATCTCTGAGGAATGTTTCCACAGCACTTTGTTCAATCTGTGGCACAAAGAATTAAGGAAGTACCAGCAAGACGTAGATCATTGTCATAATAAATGAAGCAGAAATGAGCGCACTGACTGAATAAGCAGGAAGAATGCAGAAAATAAATACAGTCAATGTTTAACTTGATAATGACTCCAATAAAATGCTGAACTACTTTCAGTTAAATTAGGAATTTGATAACTCTGTCCACCACTGTATATATCAAAAAAATCGATATAATTTTATAGATACTCACAAAAATCACAGAATTTACCTCAAGGAACTTTTACACTTTATACAGTGCATTTTGTGCTTTTGTTTGTTATTTTTTCCTGTTGTGTTTGTGCTGGTTTCTAGCTTTTTAACCATTACTAATGTATGAGTTAAAGGTTTAGTCAGTTACAATGGACCGAATGGACCATGAAATTAATGTGATTTGAGAACACCAACTTTGGACCCCCTCCTTAATTTAATGTCTAAAGTCAGGGTGTAAAGACAAACACGACCTAAAATCTTCTAAAAAATAGAGGAAAACTAAAGCATAAAAATGTAGAAAAACTAGACACACCACTAGATGTCAGTGTGGCTTCAGCACTGACTGTGGGAGAAGACAAAACAACCATATCCCTCACAGCTGAGCACAGATTAAGTGTCATTTCTTTGTTTTTCAAAAATGAAACCTGCTTAAATGTTGGTGTAGTTCTGAATCTCCACAGTTGGCAGATTTCTAGACTACAGCTGACATTTGTGCCATAGTCGTGTTTCAGCCCTGACAGTTTCCTTTCATTGTTCTGTGTTTGTGAAGGGACCTCTCGAAGGAGCAAGTTGTTTGGAACCTTCCCAGGAAACTACGTGAAGCAGCTATAATGATTCCAAACTCCCGCTGACCCCGCCCCTTTCTATGACCCGTTCATCGCCCTCCTCAGCACAGCACCCGCAGGACATCAACAAAGACCTGCAGCACACGTTTGTGTTTGCGTGTATGTGTGTGGCTTGTCAGCTTCACACAGACAAAATACTTAGCTCTAACTAGCCATCTTTAATGGAAGACTTCTATAAAGTAATAACGCATTTTTTTAAACTTATCTTTTTACCCTTATTTTTCTATTATGGAGAACCGAAGATTTGTGCTGCACCCAGTGACCTTTGACTTTTGACAATAACGGAAGTATATCTGCAGTGATGCTTTCCTTTCTGTTTCAGTTGTTTAAGGACATTAAGATCACCAAGAATACCTTTTTTTTTTTCTCCAGTAACTCAAAATTTAAATCACTTATAGTTAACTTCAGTGTTTATTTACAGATGTCTCCACAAAGATTTAGTGCAGAGAGTGTTAAAGGAAAGCAGTATTGTGTCAGAGGCCAGATGTGTTTTGGCAAATTAGGAGCCAACGTGTTGCATCATCATGCCAGGTAAAAGGATGGTTCAGCAAATGTTTTTTTGTTTTACTTTGGGGGATATTATTTAATAAAATGAACAATAAGTTTAAATACTGCAGACGTGAAGAAAAACACTATCACAGACTTAGCTCCAGATTAGTAAACACGTTGTTGCTGTTCAGTTATTTTCACGTTAGAATTGAAGCACTTTTACTGAACTTGATCACAAACAATCTCTTTGGTTTCTTTTTTTAACCTCACTTCAGATTTTACACAGCAGAGGTCATTTTGACTGCGCCTGGCTTCGGGGGAGAGGAGTGTGTTGAAAGTGTATGCAGAAAGGTTACTGACCTTTTTTAGGTATTATATTTATTAGAAGACGAAGGCTGGTCTCACTGTGTTATACGATGATTTTTAGAAAGAACGGAGCACCACATTGTTTTTTTGGGATTTTTTTAAAGCATATTTTAACAGTACCTAACTTACATTTGAATGATTGTTATTTTATGGTCATCATTATTCAAAGTCCAGGTTCTGAGTGATTACAGAAAAACAAAAACACAATGGTTAATGGGCTAAAAAGAACTTACTGTTGTTTTATGATGAATTTATTTAAGTCAGATACAGGACGGGAATTTTGAAAACCTTTGGAAATCACAGAACTGCTGTTGGATCTTTTATAGCTGTTGTCAGAGTGAGTGGGTAGTGTGTCATTACTCATGTGTGTACTGTTGTGAAATGATTGGCAATTTCCATCTTAGCGTGTCGTTCTCAGTAACTGATCTCTGTTTTGTTTTCTTCACAAAGAATGGACACTGACAACAAAACGATGTAAAAGCACCTTAAAATATTTTATCATTCACTGTCCTTCACGTCACTCTCTGTCATTCACCATTTCAGCCGGCGTGAGTTCACTGTGTGCGAGTGTGAGCGTGTCGTGTTTTTGTAAGCCTTTTTTGTTTTTGTATGCGAGCTGTAAAATGGCCAACATCCACTTGCTTTATAAAGTCGGCTTTTTCTCATCCACCATCACGTTTGGTTTCCTCTTTCTTTCCATTTCGCATCATCAGTGGTGCTAACCCGCATTCTTCTGAGAACGTCTCGTGTAGCCGGGCTCGTAGGATTTTCTTTGCTCCAGTTCGTCGTTTTTACGTTGGTGGGGTATTTAAAGTGAATTTACTGTAGGTAGACCGAGTAGAGTTGGTGATCGCTGCCTTAAATCCAGCTCACTAATTTAATAGCCATGTATATGTAAACCTGTGATGCAAAAACAAAAAGAATAATTTATGCATATGTAGTTTAGAAAGTGTATGAAAGTGTGCAGAGAACATACAAAGTGTTCAGTGTTTAAACGTTAGGCCCTCTGTCTGCCTTTGATACGAGCGTAAGAACAAATTCGAAGCAAGGAGATGAATTTGATTGCTGATATGTTTATACGTGTATGAAAGTGTAAATCTTATGTTATTCATGTTATTATTGAACTCAATGCACACTCTTGGACCTGAGTATTTCTTGTAGGACTTGTTGGATGATTTTAAGGGGCTGTATTGCTAATAAAATCCAGCTGGTAGATCAAATATTCCAACATTTTTTTTTCTTTCAGCTCAACAGAAAAAGATTATGTCATCCACCTGAAATGAAAATCTCAGGTGCCATAGGCAGAAATCTAGAAATCCCTGGCATAAATCCTCTCCTACCAGAAGGTCACAGGACACACGCGTGAATTAATATTCACTTTTGACGTCAAGCAGAATTTAAAAACTGCAAAGCGGTTTGCATCGGTATTGGACTGAACAGAGTGAAAAGTTCTGGGTATACAACCTACACAGATGTTCTTAGGTGCTCACATTAAGCATAGGTTGAAAGCTGATTGATAGAAATGTGGGCTGGAATACGAAAGCGAGTGACGTCAGAATTCAGCATGAAGGGTTTTTCCCCCTTCATTAAAACGTAAAACATCAAAAGAGCAGCACGAAAAGCAAAGGAAGCACCTGCAGAGAACAACCGTTTAAACCATTTTTAACACTTGGTTTCACTTCACTACTAAGAAGGTCTTTGTCTATTATTACTTCAGCCCTATTCTCAGTAGACACTAAGCTAAAGGACCAACAGACCGATTGTTATGGACACTGCCCCCTGGTGACAGTAAACTGCTACAACGTATACACGACTACTGGAAACTACCAATGTATAACCGGTGAAAAGCCCTGTGGTTGGAGAAATCTTGTGTCGGATGCTTTTTCTTTTGTTATTTTAAACCAGAAAACAGAGCCCAGAGTAGCTGGAGGCGGGTCGCTCCCTCTCAGACTTGAATTATGTTATTGTTGCCTGCCCTAGCTTTAAAGGTAGGACATATAATTTAGATGGACACGAGTACCTACTAATTAGTGCTAGCTGACTAAAAACACAAATTTTGTAGACTGGAACTCAAAGCAGGGCACGTAATTCCATTCCCTGCAACCAGGCAAGTGTTTGTGGTGTCAGTGCCACAAAAAGAATTCAAACATCCATTTCAGTCCAGTTGACTTCAGGTCAGTGTTGGTCAAGTTACTTGAAAAAAGTAATCAGTAACTAATTACTGATTACTTCTCCAAAAAAGTAATCCCGTTACTTTACTGATTACTAATTTTCAAAAGTAATTAATTACTTAGTTACTTTTTAAAAACACGATTTACAACCTGAAGAGGTGATAAAGCGATAGATCTTTCAGCCCAATTCTACTTTTTCTACATAATCCATCATACAAAATGTAATCAAATGGAAAAGTCTCTTTTTAAAACTTGTTTTATTAGTTTTAGTCTTTTAACTTTATGCATCAAGCAAAAATGTAATTATATGCAACATTCTCTGACTGGAAGAAATTAGTTTAACATTTAAACCTATTTTCTGCACATTCCAGCACATAAAATAAAATATTTTTTGTGTTTACACTCACTCTTTCAAATAGATGCAAGTAAAACACAGCAGGAAATAAATAAAGTCAAAGACTCAGCGGTCCTGTTGCTCTATTTTCACCTGTAAAGCAGCACTGCGGTAGGCGGAGGTTTACCCTGGTGCAGGTGTGCCGCGGTCAGTTGAAGAATCCGCGAGTTTCTCTGTGAGTTTCCCATTACGTCGCGCACTCGGTGCTTGCTTGGAAGTTTAGGGGTTTTTTTCGCTGTAAAAAGAAGTTTTCTTCCCACGCACGATGGACGCCAATGTTTTTGTCACTTTTTATGGAATCAAACTGAAAGTAAGGTCAGTACTTCCACGCTTTAAACGCTGGCTCATACTCTCTCCCGCAATAGATATGTGATCCATTGTTGATCTGCACACAGCTGTTGTCACTAAAGGCGCACTCGCGTCCGTCACTGTCGTGAGACATTCTCGCAAAAAATCACGGTTTTAGTAACGCAGCGTTCCTACGGGAAAGTAACTGTAATCTAATTACCGTTTTTGCAATAGTAATCCCTTACTTTACTCGTTACTTGAAAAAAGTAATCAGATTACAGTAACGCGTTACTGCCCATCTCTGCTTCAGGTGACGTAAAATCACTGAACTGAATCCCCAACCCCAGAGGCAATCTTTTAATACAGGAGTTGACAGAGATTGACTCTCTTTTGGGGCCAGTAGAGGAAACCAATCTGCAGTAAAAGGCGGTCGTGTGCCAATAAGAAGGCAGCTGCATGTTCAAGTAAACCATCTCAGTATTTTGGCTCTCAGCTACAAGGACATTTCTTTCTTCTTACAAACAAAACTTTTGCAAAAGGTCACAAATTCTTTGCGAAGAAGCAAAGAAACAGCAGTTGGTGTCTGTGAGTGTGGAAGGTCCGCTTCAGTCCAAGCGATGTAAATTTCACCATCAGGAGGGGAACGTGTGCCCTGCAGTTTGTCACGACACTCTGGCTACAATCCACCATATGCACGGATCCTCTAGGCAGACTTGAAAACAAGAATAAATAAAGGATAAATAAGGAGAGCTCTTTCAGTGGGTCTGCAAACAAGCAGAGTCCTGGTTTCAGTCACGTTCAACAGCGCTATTGGTGGATTTTGAAGCTTCATCACACATTGAACCAGTAGAGCAGTCCTGATCTATGTTGCATTAAACTTGCATGACATATATAACTGTTCCATTCCTCAGGTAAAGCAAGGTAAACATAAAGTTCATATAATGCCTACCGGTATATGCTTATGTACTTGAACGCTACACATGTGCTAAATATGGTTTTGGTGTTACAGAGAATGGATGCCTAGATCTGTACTCTTACTGTTACGGCCTGTTAATTCTGTCCAGAGAGAAAGAAATGTGGAAACACAAGTGATTCCATGTCATGGCAACCACAGAAACAAACCATGAATCTGATCCACGCTGAAATACTGCAAGTGGGAAAGGGTTTTCAAGGCCGAAGGCGGAGTTTGTGGTGTGGATTCATAATGGCACATTTACATGATGAAGCCGCTCCCTGCTCAGGCTAAATGGCTATCACTGTTGACACAGATTAGCATGCCTTACTCACAGGCATGGACCATTTGATGTTTTTATTTATTTTTTATTTTAACTTATTAATAGTACTACACAGATATGAAAGGGGAGCAAAGAAAATTCTGTATTGGCTGAAAAATAAATTCCTGAGATCACAAAGAGCGAATTCAGATTTTGGCCTAGAAGAAGTCTTTAAAGACATGAAAAATGGCTCAGTTTAATAGAGTAGACAAAGCCCGGTTTCTGCTGTAAACACAATAAAAAAAATTAAAAAAAAACTTCAAGTCAGAGCTGGATTGTTATCAAGCTTGGCTAGGAGTGAGAGTCCTGGGTCCCTTCCAAATCAATAGTGACTGGAATGTGCCTGTGAGACCTCCAAGGCCTCAGAGAGAAGCTTTGCCTTCAGACCAAATAAGGGCAGGAGCAGCAAGACCCATCAACCAGAGCAAGAGGAGGCCAGCCAGACCTCGAGCTGCCCGGGGATGAGAAGCATTAGTGGGGGCTGGCTTCTGACAGAAGCTGGTTTACATCTTCAGTCTGTGTGTGGACACGAGTTCATTTAGGTAAGCAGTGACTGAGCCAGAAGTGGTTATGAGTAAAACAAGCAATGCTTTGGTTTTACCTCATCATCATGACAAACACTGGCTTCTATTCGGAGAGGAGGAATAGTACTGTAAAAGAAGCAACGAGACACGCTCAAACAGAATTAGACAGACTTGAGAGTCAGTTCCCAAAATCTGACCAATTACCTCACTCACGGGGCGGGAGCTGTCCATCCTCCTCCCCCTGACCCCCTCACTTGGTTCAAAATCTCCATCACTTTGATATTCCACTGCTCTTTAACTGTGATCCCCACAGTGTGCAGTTTACTGTCTGTGCTGCTGTCAAAACAGCAGGGAGACTTTAAAGGGTCATGCCACTTAACGTGGTGCTGGATGGGCCGGCCCCCTGGGGCTTTCGTCTGACAGGAGGAAAGGACTTCAACCAGCCCCTGACCATCTCCAGGGTGAGTGAGTGAGTGGCATAATGTCTGCATTATAAGAACAGAAGCAAAGTGATATCAGTTTGCCAGTTTTTTAAGTAGTTCTTTAAATCATTTTTTTTCTTTTCCCAGTGCATTTTTCAAATAGCTTGAGGGTAAACATTGTGCTTCCAGACGATTCATTCTAGAAACATTCTGGTGTGGTATGAAGCTTGCACCTGTGCCGCAGTAAATGCAAGAGGCTTAGATACAAATAGCAGCTTGCATTGTTATCCAACATATGTGCACACACGCACACGAATACACACACAAACACGGATGTCTCATTGAGTAAATTTTGAAGCATGGAAAATATTTCCAAAATCATACTCTAATCCCGCTGCCTGTGTGAATAATCACCAACTTAAAGCCAATGATCTAAACAAATGTTTGGACAAACCTGTGTGAACCTCCTCACGTTACAGGACGAACAGACAGTGCCGACGCTGGAGTGATGAGCGCAGCATTATGAAATGTCTGTTAGAACAGTGCAGCTGTTGAGAAGAAAGTACACCAACTTTGGATCAGCTTACAGCATCAGGCAGCTCGTCATCCTCAACAGCACAGAGCGAGATAAAAGATGAGAGAAGAAACAAAAATAACTCGCAAATACAAAAAAAAAAATTCCAACTAGATTAAGTCATTTGGACATGTGAATGACTGACTGTAGGTGGACTTGGAAGATAAGAAAATGGAGAAACTCTTATCTGTATGGGGTCATCGGTGATGAAAACGATAATTTCCTGGAAGAAATTAGGTATTTCCTGTTGACACGAAGTACTAACAAGGGAATCCTCACAGATACCAATAATGATGTTGTAAATTTAGCACAAATTAAATGGGACAGTTCACATTCTCTGTTTCTGAAAATATGTTAAATATGTTCATGTATTTTGTAGGCCAAAGCTGGATAAGAAGATAAATACTGTAGATAAGTGACTGGGTGTTGTTGTTAGTTTAGTACAAATATGATAACAGATAGTCTTTCATATCTCAAACCTCACTGACTCTTTATGTTGCTGTCCTTAAGTCACCAGGCTCTAGTCTAATTGTATAAATTTTATATTATTGTTTTTGTGGTTTGCGTCTGTGAGAGTGCAAATAGCATTCTAATAAGTAAGTTTTGGGAGTGCAGGTAAACTTAGAGAGTCCAACTATCTGTTTCTCTTCAGAACGCTAAGCTAGGCTATGCTAACCAGTGGCTCCTATTGTCTCATTTTTAAAGGAAAATTCAGGTAATTTTCAAACCTATTTATATCTTCTAATTTGGGGGACCTAAATGTTTTTTGAATTAAATAATTTTTGACCAAAATGTTTGTACTTTCTAAAATAGAGCAAGAAACCAACGACCGTCAAGCACGCTAATCCCACTTAGCAAAGATCTGTGTGAATGTAAAAGCTTGTTTTTGCCACCAGCAAACTTAGACTGTTATTCTGAAGCGCCAGTCAAAGCTATCATAAAATGTTTTTTCATTCATTTATGGAATTATATCTACAACTTCAGAAAAGTGGTGTAGCACCTAGCTTACTAATGCTTGGGCAGGAAACCTCGCTGCCACTCTTTCACACACTACCAAAATTTTTAACAGTACCGAGTAGTTCAATAAACTTCAATAAAACCCTCCAACATCTAAAACAGAAGCCATTAGATGTAGATGGTAGAAGTTGCTTTCCAGTATGTAATTTATATTTTAAAAAGGATTATATTAACTATTTTATTTTTTTAGAGCCAGCTAACTTTTGCTGCCAAAACCTAACCTAATCATACAGTCAAAAGCAAAGTCTCAAAACAGATGTCCTAAACGGGATGTGAACTTATTCCTTATGGGTGAAAAATCTGTCATTTTTGTTGTAGTCTCTGTAAAATGGTGACTTCCTGTCAGCTTTTAGCGTAACTTCAGATGTTTTCAGTTCCATTCTCACAGGCATATAAAATAAAGTGTCCAGCCATGCTCAGCTCAATGAATTTGATCATAATACGGTGACTACTTTAAAGTCTTCAACTTTAAGCATTATTCCAAAGTGGAAGCATTTAGGAAACACAGCAATGCCAGCCACGTAAGTTGCTGAGCGGGGATGAACGTGGTGCTTAGGAGATGCTCTGCGAACTGCACAACTGCAGACGTTCATGTGGGTGTAACGTGTAGGTGATCCAATATTTTTTGAGCATAGCCTGTGAGTAAGAAAACCAGTCTCTGTTACTTTGATGAGGATTATTTCTAAATGAGATTACATCGTCCCTTGTAGTTGGAAGTTTTAGCGTTTTTGTTCCATATTGGTCAAAATCAAAACTTTTTTTTTTTAGCTTTTTAATAATTCAGACTCCACAAACCTAATAAACAAAACACATAAGAATTTCAAAGGATGCACACAGTTAACAGGCATTTATATTGGCTACTGCTCCAAATAACTGTTTTGTTCACTGCAAAATACAAAAGTTAGGATTTTGACGATGAGCACTGCTTTCTCCATCTGTGTTACAACTTGCCTGTGGCCTGAATCCCCAGAGTCAGCCAGAGATGGAGATCAGTAATCCTGTTATGTATGATGGGGTTATGTGAATCTATATTTAGAGAGGGACCTCAGGAAATACTGACCAAAAGCAATTTTAGCTCACAAACCACCAGCTCTTTCCAGTAAACTCACACCTGTTGTGTTAGTGGACACTCAGAGGCCTGTATGAGCACAGTGATGAAAGAAGGCTGAGATTGAAGAGAGAGGGGAAGCGGAAACGATATGAGATCAGTAATATGAGAAGCTGTATCCTCAAATGCATTTGTATCAGAGACAACTGTTAAAAAAACCAAACCCCAAAACAAACTATGATTTAAAAAAAATGGCTACAGGGCAGATTAAAAAGCTGCTACTTCAGTGAACCCACAAGATTTATTTGAGAGCACAAGTGATTCGACTCGCTCCGTTCAATGCCATTTTTGGTTAGGAACATCCTCCCCTTCATGAGCCGTTGGTGTTCCCAGCTGGTGAAAGTAAACACAAGTGATAATCATCTTTTTCTTCAGCACACAGGGGCCGTAAAGTGGGCGCCGCTCTAGATTTACCCATGAAGATCTGCATCTCTGTGTGATGTCTCCATGAGGGGTGTAAAGCACATGGATTCAATTGCCTAACATGCGTTACGTGTCTCTGCAGGATCTCTGTGAGAGAACTACTCCCATGATGTCATTACTTTGGCTTAATTTTTAAGACTACAACTGTATATGCTTATCAGAGTCCAGCGGTCCAAACAGGCAGAAAAAAAAAAAAGAAGATTGCAGCTGACAAGAAGGCTGAGGTACTCCTTCACAACGAGCTTCAACCTGCCACATTCCCAGTCTTGCTACTTGCATCCCCTATTTTATCCCGGATTCTTAAGAAAATAGTTTTAGAGCAAGCAAGGGAGGTAAAAAGAGAAGAGAGAGGCAGGACGGGAGAAAAGCAGAAAGAAAAGGCAGGCAGGTGGTTGTAATTTAAACAAAGACAAACGTTTGACATGACAGCTGAACTCCGAGGAAGCAAAAGAATGTAATTAAAGAAAAAAATAAAAGCATGGCTGTGTACCTACTCGATCCAGACATGAGAGCAGCGAGACAAAGTCTGACAGCGCTCTCAAACAAATGCTCCACTGTAAATTACCGCTCCCTCTTTTGGAAGCATGAGACATCCCCTCACCACTTTTATCCGCTGTTATTTATAGGCAGATGACCTAATTTAAGTTTCACCGTAACATCTCAATGTAGCTCAGTCTGCAATGTCCAGTAATGCAATATGACTGAGCACAGGTCGTGCCCTGTGTGGCGCAAGTGGACATTTTGGGTACTGTTTGATGTGGCCTCGGGAGAGGTGAGCTGTGACCCTGGTGGCTTTCTGGCAGTTCTTGCTCTTTTTTCCAGTCACTTCCTGACCATCAGAATACATATTACCATCTGGACGCTGTCACTCGGTGTTTACTTTGGCTCCATGACAGGAGAGTTTACACACATGCATACCAACCAGAGCAACGTCTCTCTGTTAGCAGCTACTGTGGAGAGTGCACGAGCTGCTGAATTTATAGATTTAGCTCATCAATGGTCTGAATTGTGTTTTGAATTTGTGTGTGTGTGTGGGGGGGGAGGTTATAAAGCTTTGATCCAAGCAGGGGAACAGAAACAAGGGGCCCAGCCCCTGAGTACTGTATTAAAAGATGACGTGCCAGTGATGGAGAACAGACTTTTCACAGCACTGCAACATCTGGACGTACTGGATTGTATAAAGGCAATGTACAGAGGGAATCCAAGTCAAGGGCAGAGTTTCTGTTTAATAAAGCTAAAGCTTAAATCCATGTAAGAATCTTGACCATACCGTAGAAATGAGATCACCGGAATATGTTGGGGTTTAGTTTTATTTTTTTACTCAAGTCTTTGTGTGTAAGCATGTATAAGTTTAAGCATATTATGTATTTGCTCGTTCGTGTAAGGTGTTGTTGAAAAGAACTGCATTTGGACTCTATTGAAGCTGGATTTAAATGCTCAAACATGCCAAGTTTTCTGTTTTTGAGAAAAGAAAACTTTGTTATGATTGTTAGCAAACTATGATACAACAAACAGGAAATAGTTTTAATACAGACGTAAATATCGTGCTCATTTTCCACTCCCTCTATTGATAATGATACTAATTCAGGCTGCTTCAACCTTTTCCGCTGCATAACTTGGTCTTCTGGTCCCAAACTTTTCCCATGACCCCACCAGCTACAGCCGTACATCCCTGAATTCGTCGAGGGCATGTTTTTGTTTGTCACTGAAACTGAGAGGAATAAACTGATATGAAAATTTAGTTAAATCGTAGGACGAAAAGCAAATGAAGACAGCTGCTGCTGAAATTAAAAGTTGGACGTTGGACAAACTATTTAGGAATTAGCTAATGAATGGTGTGTCTTAGTAAAGTGTGTAACTCCCATAATTTTCAGAAATAGTTGCTTGGTGAAAAACTTGTTGTGTTTCTTAAAGATCCCCCATTCAGTGTTCCCAGGGAACACTGTCTAGGAACTGAAACAGGCCATAGAATATGCTTGTTAAAGTATCCTTTGTCCTACATGGAGCTGTTTGCATTATTACTGACCGCCACAGTAAAATGAAAGCACACCCAGTTTAAAATTTATCTGGACTTACAATTGGATAAATACACCCTCAGATGAACTGTGTCTGTGAAGTACACCTGTATTGCTTAAGAGGATAAGTAGCAGCCATGAGCTACTGATCAAATTCACCAGATTAACTGATCATCAGCAAATTTTGGGAGTTTGCTTGCCTGGAGCATTCAGGTGCCAATCAATCCGGAGAGGGTTATAAGGCAATTTCTAAAGTCCATCATTCTACAGGGAAACGTTATTTACAAGTCAAAAACATTTAAGGCAGCTGCTAATCCTCACAGGAGTAATCTTACCCCAAGGTTGGGCCATGCATCTTCAGAGAAACACTAAAATTACCAACAACTACATCCTAGACTCTACAGGCCTTAGTTGGGACAGCAAATATTGAAGTTCATGGCAGTACGTATAGAAAAGTCCTGTATGGCTTATTTGGAAGAGTTACTAGGAGAAAGCCTCTTATCTCTACAAAGGCTAAGTGCTACTTTCAGTAAAAACCAAACACAGCATAGCAGCACAAACACTTTGTACCAACAGTCAAGCACGGTGGTGGAAGGGTGAGGATTTGGGCTAACCTTCAGTGAACTGAATGGGTTCTCTCCGTGTACTCTGACTTCTCGCCACAGTCCAGAGACAAGCAGTCAGTAGGGTTAGGTTAATTGGTGATCTGTCACTGTGTGAACCCTGTGGCAAATTGCCGACCTTTCCATGGAGTACCCTGCCTCTCACCCTATGCCAGCTGGAATAGGCTCCAGCAACCCCACGACCCTGATAAGGACAAGCTGAAGAGAATGGATGGATATTTGTTTTTCTTTTTTTTTTTTTTGTTATCCACTTGTCTATGATACTCGCCTTGTTTGTTGACTCCCATCCAGATCACTCCTGGCAGTAAGGCATCTGCTGCCAACCTGTGCCCTGGTGATGTCATCCTGGCTATTGAGGGAGTCCCAGCAACAAACATGCTGCATTGTGAAGCTCAGAACAAGATAAAGGAATCCACTCATCAGCTCTGTCTCACCATTGAAAGGTTAGCGGGAGTATACACATGCTCACAAACCTTTTTTTTGGATCATTCAGCTTTTGATTCAAGTTAAATTTGAAGTTGGATTTTTTGGTGTTAGCTATTTCACAGGTGTTCGCTTTACTATAAAGGTATAAATCCATGACTAATGTATCCACATTCTGTAATACACATTGTTACTGCAATTATTTTGTGTGTTGACCCCTTAATTTTAATAATAATATCCACTGCTACTACAAAAAAAAGCTGTGGGAAAAAATGTGGAAGAAATATGTAGCCTGTGGTACTTAAGGAAAGACATAAATCTAAGGTCAGTTTAGATGTTTTATGTGCCAGGATTAGGCTCACATGTGCGCACAAGCTTCAAAAACAGGCATTTAACAGTCAGTTCATCGTGGTGAACTTCTGACCAGGATCTGCCTTTAAATTCCAGAAACGAATCAAGACTGTGGACTCCACGTGCCATGGAGGACGGGAGAGCTCACCCATTTAAAATAAACCTGGAAGCAGAGCAGCAGGTCTGTGAGACTGTATGTTTAGTAGCTATGATGCCTTAAATCTTTGTATCTTGTTACTGCTTCAGTAGTGTCCTTGCTTCCTTCTTCTCCTACCAGGAATATAAACCAATTGGCACAGCTCACAATAGAAGAGCTCAGCCATTTGTGGCAGCAGCGAACATTGATGACAAGCGCCAGGTAGTCAGCACATCCTACAACACGCCTATAGGCCTCTACTCCAGTGGCAACATCCAGGATGCTATGGAGGGCCAGATCCGAGGCTTGGTCCAGCACAAGCCTGAGAGGTGATCAGTGCAAATAATCATTAGTTTGTCTAAAAGCACCACATTACACAAACTAAGTGCTAAAAACCTGTTGCTTAGAAATACTTTTCCATCAGTCATTGTGTTGGTATGTTTAGAAATATAAAGGTGCGTAAGTGTAAAGCCTAATGGTTCACACACACAGAAAAATGTTAGCACGACAGCATGCCACACTGTGCCACCAACACATTACATCAACAGGAAACTTATGCAATGAAGCTCCCAGCGCACAGTTTCAGTGCTTGATGTTAATGTACAAGGAGATTTGGAGGTCTGCAGCTATTGAGTGAGCAGAGCATTGGTGACTTTTATGCACTACCTCAGCACTTGGCAACCCTGCTCTGTAACTTTGGGGTCTGCCACTTTGCAGTTAGGGTTACTAAATGCTCCCACTTTGCAATGATATCACTTACACTTAATTTTGGAAGAAATTCCATGTACTAAATTGTTGCAAGTGCATAGCTGGCATCTTATTACACTACTATGCTTGAATTCAGCGAGCTCTTTAGTACAACTGATTCTTTATTGGTGCTTTATTTTATACACCTGTGGTTGAAAGCACCTGAATCCAAAGCCTAACAGGTGCACAATACTTTCACAATACTTTTGTACACATTATGTACTCCACTTAACCAACTAATGTAAAGCTGTTCTGCGTCACTTGCCCTGTGTGTCTACTTTGCCACAGCAAACATAAGTGGAAATTCTTACATGAGCTTAAATGAAATGAGTACACATACTGATTCTCTGGAGTAGTTTTTGCCTTGTGGCTTTTAGTCTCACTTTACAAAGGCCTTCTTCCTCTGTGAAGGACATCATTGCATCGTTGTAATTATACACAGCAAATAGCTGTTTACTCTTCTATTAAGTATGTGGGAAGCTTTTAAGATTGTGCACGGCGTTTATGGTTGAAAATAACTGAGCTGACCTAAGAATATTTAACCAAATAACTGATTAACTAATTACTTTCCTCTGGAGCCTCTCTTATGGCAACTCTCTTTATTTGAGTGATAAGGAATGAATAATAACCACTGTAGATCCTACAGAGCTACTATTGCACCAATTGTTTTTGCCCGTTTTACATAACTCACCTCCAGAATCACCCGTCCAGTGAGTCACACAGATGTGCTACAGCATGTTAGCCTTCAGCCTTCCCATGCAGTCATATGGATTCCATTAGCTTGTTTGATGTACGGTGTCTTAGGGAATATAGGAAAGAATCTCTTTGTGGCTCAACCACAACTTCTGAATAGGTCACATCCGACCAAAGCCACTCACTCATGCATTACTTCTGCACTGATTTAGACGAGCACTGCAGCACATTATCAGTACACTGGAAGGGATCATTGTTTATTAAACCATAATTATGGTTAAATTACAGCTCAAATTGTACGTTAATCAAATCCGTGTGATTATTTTTGTCTCGCATCCATTTTCTCCTTGTAAGGCTGACCCATCATGCTGCGTGATCGTCACCTGGTTACGCACATTTGTTGCACACACTAGACACCAAGTTTAAAGCGTGATGGGTGAAACTTTCATTGGTTTTTTTTTTGTCAGAATTATAAGAAAACTCCTGTATTGCAGTTAGTAGAATTTGATGGGGTTTTTCTGTGTGTGTCTCGATGCACTGCTCAGTCCCAGAGCTCTAACCAGCATTGAGGATTCTGACGTTTACCGGATGTTACAGAAAGACCAGGAGGATCCCCAGGAGCCTCGGCAGTCTGGCTCCTTCAAAGCCCTCCAGGAATTTATTGACAGTGATGGTGAGCTCTCTCCTAAATTATGCATCTCTTCCTCAAAAAATCAATTCATAAATCATTCATAATTCTTCCCACTTTTTCAGTCTTCACCTGGTTGTAGTGACACTGACAGGCAGTAGTTTTGTCATCAAACACTTTTCAGTTCACGAGATGCTGTTTTTTCACATAAAGTTGCCGTTTTAAACCTTTTTTTTTTTCAGCTTTCCCCCTGTAAGAAGAATAAAGAACAAATTTGAAGGTTTCATATCTTTTTCAACCCTGGTTGGAAGAAGGGCTCAGGGATTGATCTAAAAACCCTTTGGCTTAAAGTCATAGCTGAAATTACATGTTGATGACTTACCTGTGGCATTAATACATTTTCAATAAATTACACTGTGATTTACTTGGACAAAAAGGACTGAAAGTAAGTAGATCATTTATGCAATACTGTGACAGTGTCTCATATCACACCCTATTAAAGCTCCACAGTGTGTGTCATTCTCCTTATTTTTGGAGTATTATTAATACAAAAGCACTTTTCCACGTGTTTCCTTTGTTAGCAGAATACGTATAATATGCTGAAAAACAAAAAACAGAAACCCAAAATGAATGATCATTCATGCCGCTTTGTCCCTGTCTCGTGGTTTTTCTTTTCATGTATGTGTTATGATCACGCAGGGTTTTTGTGTTGAGTGGTTTCTTTCTAATGTGATCAGGCACTCGCCCCATTGTGACCAGGACAGTAAAAGCGCCCACAACCAAACCAACTACGCCCACAGGAAACCTGCAGAAACTGCCTGTCTGTGACAAGTGTGGGAATGGGATTGTGTGAGTAAAAATAGAACGACTCATCTGCGATTTACATTAAGACCATCTATGCAGAAACAGCACAGTTCAGCGCAGTACACCCAGAGGCTCTAGCATCGTTTGAAGATCGCAGAAACTGCATAAATTATATGCGCTCACCTGCTACCTCATTAGGTACACCTGTTCACCTCATTGTTAATGCAAAAATCTAATCAGCCTAATAATGCACTGAGTGGCAGTAACACAGTGCTGAAGTGAAAACTGAGCATCAGAATGGGGACGAAAGGAAAGTTAAGTGACTCTGAATGAGGCATGGTTGTTGGTGCCAAACAGGCTGGTCTCAGTAGTTCAGAAACTGCTGACATACTGGGATTTTTCCCCTCACAACCACCTCTAGGGATTACAGAGAATGGTCTAAAAAAGAGAAAATATCGAGCGAGCGGCAGTTCTCTCTGTGAAAATTCCTCGTTGACGTCAAAGGTCAAAGAAGAACGGCCAGACTGCTTTAAGCTAATACAAAGGCAACAGTAACTCAGTGCAACCAAGTTATGCAGAATAGCATACGTGACCGTGCAACACGTCGAACCTTGAAGCAGATGGATTGGAGCAGCAGAGGACCACACCGGGTACCACTTCTATTAGCTAAGAACAGCAAACTAAAGCTGCAGTTTACATGGGCTCAGCAAAACTGGACCACAGGAGATTGGAGAAATGATGCCTGGCCCGAGTCTCAATTTCTGCTTCAACATTTGGATGGCAGGATCAGAATATGTTATAAACATGCAATTAATGGATCCATCCTTCCTTGTACAAACAGTTCAGGCTCCTGGTATGGGGGATGTGTTCTTGGCACACTTTCAGCCCACCAGTACTGGCTCAGCGTCATTTAAATCGCACAGCCAAACCATCAAAAACTGGATTCTTGAATGTGTCAGTAAGTTCACTGCACTCATATGGCCTCCACCATCATCAGAGATTGCTAATATAGATGTGCAGCACCTGTCTGATGGACCGAAACCTCTGAGAAATGCTTCCAAAACCTTGTTGAATCTGTACCAAAGAGAATTCAGACAGTTTTGAAGGAAAAAAGGGATCCAATCCTGTACGAGCAAGGTGTACCTAATAAAGTGGCCACTGAATGTCAGCTAGAAACACAAATGTCTTACATTTTGAAACTCAATACATTATCAAAAGCTTCTGGGACTGGGGGAAAGAGAAGTCTGTTAAACCTGTGTGTTTTTAAATGGGCAGCAGAGGGCGACTTTTCTGGTTGCAAAAACACAAGTCACATTGAGGTTGCACTGCAGGAAAACAAGTGTTCCAGTTATTTGGGTTTGTGTCCATCTATTGTCTTTACACTTGGAGCCTGTTTAGAGTACATCTACCAGTGTTTTTAACCTATAAACAGTTAGCACAGCAGTAACTGGGTTCTATGCTTTATCGTGAAGCTGTACCACTTTTTAAGTGCCGTATATTCTGTGCTCCTGACATCAGTTTGTTTTTGATGCTTCAGTGGGACAGTGGTGAAAGCTCGGGACAAATATCGTCACCCTGGTTGCTTTGTGTGCTCTGACTGTGATGTCAACCTGAAACAGAAGGGCTATTTCTTTGTGGAGGGACAGCTGTACTGTGAGATCCACGCTCGTGCCAGAATGAGACCAGCGGAGGGACACGACCTCGTCACAACATTTCCCTCTGTATAGAACCCTGCCTCCCTTATATGAGCACAGACACATAAAATCTAGGAAGCCCTTCTATTCCTTACATACGTGTTCATGTGTTCGTCTGCACTTTGGTGCTGTGTGTAATAATATTTCAGTAAGAATACACTCTTCACTCTTACTGATATGATGTATTTTCTAGGCAATAATGTAAACACCTGGTTGCTTAGAGAGTCCAGCGAAACCACAATCTGTCTTTCCAATAAAGGCCTCTGCTCATAATGTTAAAGGTCTCTGTATGTGTAGCCTTAATAACAACAACAACATGGCTAAATTACGTCCTCAACATGTCTTGAAGTTCTCCAGAGGCCTGGTAATGAAATAAACATTTGATTCAGGTGTGTTGGCCCAGTGTGACATCTAAAACCTGCAGGACACCGGCCCTCGAGGCCTAGAGTTCCCCACCCCTGCTCTAACAGATCCAGCTCTGTTTATGCATAGTTTAAGCAAGAGGTGTCGGACTCCAGGCCTCGAGGGCCGGTGTCCTGCAGGTTTTAGATGTCACACTGGGCCAACACACCTTCAAGACATGTTGAGGAGGTAATTTAGCATTTGAATCAGCTGTGTTGGATCGAGGACACATCTAAAACCTGCAGGACATCAGCCCTCGAGGCCTGGAGTTCGACACCTGTGCTTTAAGCTAACAGATGTTAGCAAATTAAAACGATGAATGTATTTGTTAAAATTCAACATGTACAAACTCATTAAATCTCTGGCATGGTTGTATGCCCGTCATTGGTGTGAAATATCCACCTGCTTCATATTTGAAAGGTGGATATTAAATGTTGGCCGTTTATAAGCTTTATGGCTATAAGCATTTGTTAGCCACGACAACATTAGCTGTTAGCAGTTCACATGCTAAGTCTGGAGTGTTTTGTAAAGCAGTGGATTGGCACGGATGCTACCACAAAAGGGGAATTCAGTGGCTCAGTCTATATGTGAGAAATTTCAAGATCCCTTTCAGACTAGCTAACAAATTTTTATGTTTGTCAAGGATGTATTTTGAAGTAAAAGCAAAGCTAAAATTAGGCAAGATGACCAAATCAAGTGGATCACCAAATACTATGTAGTATGTACCATGTATATAGCCACGAAGATTGTAAAGTCATCAAAGTGATTTCACTTACTGTGGTTCTTTTGGGAATGTGTGTGGTTGCCTTGATTAAAAACAGCAGCCTCATCTCTCTAATCTACAATTTTTGAGGAAAACCTCATCAACACTGGCAGCAACCACCCTGTGAGATCACCTATATGCAATACGACAGCCACTCCTTAGTTCGTTGGCCTCTTTGTATTGTTTGTTGTGCACCATATCGCACAATTCCTCTTGAGTGAATGAGTAGCTAACCTTGTTATGCACCATTTCAAAGAACAATGGAGAGTTACACAACTGAGTCTGCAAAAGAGCAAAACAGGCAGATGAATCTGTCACTGCAGACGCACAAAACCGCATAACTTTATTTTTATCCTCAGTCAACATCCGATTCTAATTTCCAGGATGTCAGATTGAAACTGTGGTAGCACACAATTGGAGTCATAAAATAAAAATACAGCATGTGGTTAAGTGTTATAAAATCCTTGAAATTCTCCATGATCTCAACTATTGCAGTGCTGGATCTAGTCCAGTGTTAAATAAACAATAATACTCAATATTACCAATACTATGATTAACCGTCTTAAAATATTGGAGAGTAACTTTAGTTTATATGACATGAACCTGTTGAGACAGCAGGGGGAGCCATAGCATTATTGTTTGTTCTGTTATGACCATTCTACATGATGTTTTTGAAGTGTTTTGAGGTTAAATTAATTACCTAAGTAGCAATTGTGGTGAATTTTCTCTAGGTCCGAATTTAACATTTAAGATAATTGTGAATTATTAATCAAGAGATTGTACCTAAATTAATTTCTTTAATCTGCACTCATAAAACATCTTGATTAACGGCTGCTAGTCAAACCCTCCAGCACTTTCTAAGCTTTTTAACCTGTCAGTATATTTGACCTACATCTTAATCAGGTGCTGGAAATTAGCCAGAAGTTTCACACATTAACCCGAGCAGGAGGTTAAGTCATTTAAAACATAATTGCTATCAACAACACGTTACTAATCTACAAATCTAGCACGCTGAATATTCAGAAAACTCTTGCAGAAGCTGGACAAAATCACAGTCAAAAGCCATTTACTGTTTAGGTTTATACTCTTTCTCTGAGGAAAGAAAAACTTCTAAGGATACAAACAAACTGTGACACCTAGAGCTGAGCGATTCCAACGAGGAAATGCTCGGGAGGTTTTATAACATTTACTATTACAACATAATCAGTGATGCGCCTAGCTAACAAACCTAGCTTTATCCACTCCGAGGACCAAGTTTTTAAAAAATAAAATAAATAAGGGACCAAAATGCCAGACTTGGTATCTCACACACCAGTTGGAGATGTCACGGTAGGTATGAGCTACTTTTTATATGATATATGAATGGACATTTTCTGTTTCTGTAGCTGCTGCTAACATGTTGGTTGCTTATACAAAATAAATCTGATGTTGGTCACATTACTTAAAAGTTTATTGGAAATGGTTTGTACACAAACTTTCACTTCAGATCAACACATTAACATACATTTTAGACTTCACCTGCACCACTTTACCCTCTGATGCAAATTTCAGTCAACCAGATATAATTTATTTCAGTTGTGCAATTAACGTATAGTAGAAAGAAAATACTGCTTTTCCACTCATTTTCAGTCTAGTACTTGTACCTGATCGTTTTCAGATAAATGTTGTTGTTTGTTACAACACTTAACATTGACCTACGAATGATTCAAGCATAAAAAAACGACCAAAGGATGAAAAATTGTTGTTTCTACAAGTAACTGACAGCTTAAAAGAGAACCAAGATTTAAGTTTTACTATGACGCTGTTGCAGAAACACAACATTTGTTTCCATTTCCTTTGTTGAATACATCAAAAATGTCAAAGATAATACAGTTTGACAGACATGAAATAACCATGTTGTACCAACACACTGATTCCCAAAGAACTATTAGCCAAAACCTATCCCAACATGATGTGCAGTGTGTCCTTTGAGGAAACTGGACAAGTGTAAGACAAAAGAGGAAGTGGAAAGCTTAAAACTGATCTTTGGCAGATAACCAGTGTCTGAAAGTCATGTCCTTGAGAAATGGGGGGAAACATCCAGCAAAGACCAGACACTGGACCTAAAAGATACATCTGAAACTTTGATCCATCTACTCCTCACTGAAGCTTCATCAGAAGCGCTCTCAGTGGAAGGGTGCATATCAAGAAGCAATTCTTCAGTAAAGGAAGTGAAGGGAAACGGCTGAGGTGTGCCAAATTACACAGGAACTGGACTGAAAATCAGTGGCCTTGTAGTAATTCATCTAAATTGAACATTTTAGCTCAATCTGTCGTCAGTATGTATGGAGGAGGTCAGCAGAAAGGTACAACAGTGAGTATCTACAGCCATTTGTAAAACATGGTGGAGGCTCTGTCATGGTTTGGGGCTGTGTTTCAGCCAGTAGTGTTGGACATCTTGTAAAAAAAATCAGATTTTGATTCACCATGCAGTATGACCTGGAAAGCATGACTTCATTTTTTCGCATGACAATTATCCCAAACACACTGCTAATGCAGCAAAAGCGAAACACACTGTGGGACACGGGGAGTCATGGATTGGTTTCACCAGAGCCCGGACTCAGCAAGCAGTGTGGGGGGATCATTTTGACAGAGAGCAGAACAAAAGGCAGAAACATCCAAAGAAGAGCTTTCAATGTCCTTTAAGAAGCCTGGAGAACTATTCCTGAAGACCACTTAAAGAAACAAGACAAGAAAGCTTCCAGGCTGTCTTGAAGAATAAAGGTGGTCATACCGAACATTTACTTTCAAGCTCATTAAAATTATAAACCTTGTTTTGGCCTTATATGCTGTATTTCCATGTGTGCACATTTCAGTAAATCACTGTACTTATGTCAAATTTTCCTGGAAAACATGAAGAAATCAGCGAGGACTCAAGACTTTTACACTGTGTTGTATATATAATAACAGAAGCCACTCAAACCCAGGGAATCACCAATAACCAATAAAACTTTCTTCTCTACATGTGAACCAACTGATTAATATCCTGCCACACCATCTAATTATTTCACAATGGGAATACAATTAATTGGCAAAATCAATGCTCACAATATCTAACAAAATGTCATTAATTAAATATTAATACATGTTGACAGAAAGTCGTGAGATTGACATGGCAGATGACTTAAGTGCTGTCTTGTATGAAAGCCAAAGGACATGGCGATCAGCAAAAAATAATAAAATCGAATTTGTTTTCAAGCTATTGTTCAATTTATTTGATTAGTATGTACCCTCATCCTGGACAGATGCTTTGTGACAGCAGCACCTGCTCTGCCAAACAGCCAAAGAAACAATTATTGATTTAATGCTGAATACACCATGAATAGCTTACTAAAAATGGAGACCCACAGCCAATATCCCAATCCCTTGGCTCCTCACGTACACGTAAAGTAAATCACTAAGGACGCGGTCAACAGGAAGAACACTTTAAAACCTGAGTGCCGAGATAATCAGTGTAAGAGTGAATAGTGGTGATTACAATGCTCACTGCAAACAAAGACAATTCGGGGAGGGGTGGGAACTATTTTACTTTCCTGTTGAACTCAGAATTAAATTAAAAAACAAAAACATGCAAACATCTGCAACTACAGCTAAGACACCACTGAATATCAAATGATTCTCAAATTTAAAGCAAGGACAGAATAATTAGTGGAATTTACTTCACATGCCATTTCTTAAATTTGTTACATTTACATGTCACGGATTAAAATGTATTTCATATTCATTATCTATCAATAAAATAAGTGTGTACGAAGGTTAATTCACACAGGAAGGCAATAACATCATCATTGTACACAGTTTTATAACTGTGACCACAGATGATCACAGTCAAAATTTCAACGTATTCACGACTCCTGTACTTCAAACCATGCATTCAAATCACGACCATTAACAAGAGCATCAAAGAAATATTTAAAACCCAGTCAGATTAAGTGTTGTTTACGATGCAGATTAGTTAGAAAAGAGCCACTCTATGTCAGAAATAAAGTTTAGGAGTTTAGCATTAACCACACGTAAAAGTTTAAGGAAAAATTAAATAGATGCAAGGATTTAACGGGAATACGATAATTCGGGTAAAAAGCCTGTTCTTGGTTTCACTTGCTTGTCTCAGCTGGGCTCTTCTGCTGAATCGTCTCTAAATGTGTTGATGCTATGAGAAGCACAAGAAAGCACATGATCAACATAATGATAGTATATTTGAACCATCACTGCAAACACTGAGCTCATAATAGCACATTTTCATTTTGCCACAGTTTGTTAACCTTGTAAACCATTACAGCTTTGCTGCTTTCTTGCATGTTGAAAGTGAATGCTTAAACAGAAGCATGGATACGTTAACTTTTCCAACTATATCTTTACAACCCTGGAAGCCTGAGCTGAACTGGCAACTTAAACATGAAATTCACTGGATATTCAATTCTTTCAATTATATCATAATTTGTCTGTTATTTATTATTAAGTATTTATTCTTATTTGCACAATCCAAGTCAAACACTTAGCAACAGCCAGTTTAGTACAGCCTAGCTTCTATTTATTCTTCTTATTTTATTTATTCTACATGCTCCTGTGTAAAAGACTGCTGTCGAACAAAGATTCATGGAACAAAATGAGTATTAAAGAATATCTGCAAGAGCAGATATTCTTTAATACTTTGTAATCTGATGCAGTTGTGCAGAACACTGCTTGTTAAACACCACACATGTTTCTTCCAACACGTTGGTGAAGAATGAAATCTCTTGCAATCATTGAGATAACACTTCTCTCCAGTCTTTGCCAAACATACCTGGAAACACCCACACATGCTTGAAATCAGTTATACAACAGGCAGTCTGAACCTTAGTAGCTCAACTCCCTTGTAAGAACTCTGCAAACTTTGAGATAAAGAGAGTGGGAGGAAGAGGAAGATAAGGGGAATAGGAGGGAGAAGATCAGAACCAAGAACATACCTTGGTCCGGTCCTCTTTTTCAAGCAATGAAAGGCATGCAAGTACATCAATGTGATTTCAGTCCACTCGACAGAAGAGCAGGGTGATATCTTCCGCGTTGCCAAGCCACGGATGGCACAGCTCGTGATGTGGACGATGTGACGTGTGGAGCATAACAAAGGACAGGATCAAACAGTACTTTTTTTGTTTACCTTACATTTTTTCATTATTCCGTATTTATTTTGTTTCAGTGAGTTTCTATATAACCCTATAAGAACAACCAATACAGCTGTTAAACTTTTCTGTTTCTGTGTTCACAAATGTGAGCAGCAGATACAGTTATTGCCCCTCTAAAGGTTTAATTGTTTGAAAAGCAATTGCTAGGTTAGACTGCAAAGTTTCATTTTGACATAGAAGTTTGGTGTTTGTCTTCGAGTCTTGTGTCTTATCAGTGTGTGCATTTTTAACACAACAAGACAAATTCCTTAAAAAAGTGTGGCAGGGACCAAAATAAAGAAAAAAAGTAAAATAAAAATAAATTAATGATTACAAACATCAATTTTTTTTAATTGCTTATGATAAAAATGCTTACTGTTTTAATTATTTATTCATATTGTGAGAAAATAATCTAATTAGCTAATTAATTAATTAAACATCCTTTGCTACATTTCAGTAAAATGTGTCGATAAATACGCCATTAAAGTCTGTGCAGCCTGGCATCAGCGTGAGCAGGAAAATAAATGATTAGGGTGAACAATCAGAAAAACGTGAGATTATGAGAGGTTTTTGCTTTTCAGCTAGATGTAATAATATATTGTTGTTTCATTCTAGTGTCGATGAAGCTTATTCTGATATTTGAGAAGATTTTGTGGCAACTTAAGGGTGGGAGCCGAAACAAGAATTTGAAGGAAAAAATCAGAAAAGCTTAAAATCAATTCATGTTATGCAGATATTGTAAGAGAGCTGTACTGGTGGCGTTGCTGAACAGAAATCAAAATTGAGAAGAAGTTCATTATTGCAGCGGTATTTGTCAGTTATTTTTCTGACTGCAAAAATGTAGATAACACCAGTATATTGCGGATGGCAGATTGGATCCTGCCGTATTTTAAATGATTAAGATTAAAGACGTATACATGTATGTTACGAAGCCGTGAGTACAGTTTCACAGATGTGTTAATGATGCCCCCCTTTGTTGCTCTATTTGATGTTAGAAGTTAGCTATTTTAAAGTTTAAGCCCTTTAAAACATTTAAAAAGTCATTTTAATCATCCATTATTATGTGTGGTCAAAATGCCCAAAATAAGCATAAAATACACACTTCACATTTGAACAACTAATTATCAGTCCATTCCCTTAAATTGTGCAACTTTAGACATTTGTTGATTTACAATCAGTACAAACCCCATCTTCGTCTTTCTGTGTCTCTCTGGCTTTGGAGCATCTTGCGGTCACGCTGGAAAGCGGGAAACACTTAAACACAGACATAAAAGCCATCCTGTAGTTGTTGTTCATCCAGCCGTACAGGATGGGGTTGACGAATGTTGAGCACATCGCTATGATATGGAACACAGTGAAAAGCAGCTTGAAGTCCTTCATGTACGGCACGCTGCTGTCGATGTCAACAGCCAACTGGAAGGCGTGGAAAGGCAACCAGCTGACGGCAAAGACCACCACCATGGTCAGGAGCATCTTGGTGGTCTTCTTCCTTCGCTGATTACGGTCATTTCGATCGTTTCGATGAGCCATGTGATTCTTCAGTTTATTCCAGATGCGAATGTAAGCGACAGAGTTGATTATTAAAGGCAAACAGTACTGAACCAGAAGCATCGATGTACTGTAGATGGCTCCATTCATGCTGCTTCCCGGCCACTTCTCCGCACACACGTGAAGAGTCTCGGCCGGCGACAGATCAAGCATCTCGTACTCCCTGAAAATGGCAAGGGGACTAGCCAACAGGGCACTGACGGCCCACGTGATGACGATAACAACAGCACACATGTCTTTGGACATCTTAGTCTCCATGTGGTAGACAATGTTCCTGTGGCGGTCCAGAGCAATGATATTCAGAGTGATGGTGGACACGTGCACAGCCATGCCTTGAGCACAGGGTAGCATGAAGCACAACACCTGACCAAACATCCATTTGCCATAGAGGGTGTTGACAAGGGTGGAAGGTAAGCACAGCGTGTTTACGAGCAAGTCAGCAACAGCCAAGTTTACGATAAAGAAATTGGTCACGGTCCGCAGATTTTTGAACTTGTAGACGACATATATCACTAAGGAGTTCCCAGTGACTCCAAACAGGATGATTGTGCTGTAAGCAAGGATGAGGATAACTTGAACTGCAACCAGCCTTGTGCTGTCATCCTCCATGAGAAAGTTCTCACCATACACTGTGTACGCGGTTGAGCAGCAGTTAGAAGGTTGAAGCTGATAATCTTCTACTTGAGTCATGTTTAATTGTTCTGCTGTGTTCATGACTAAAAGAACCAGAGTAAATCTGTGGAACAAAAAGTAGATATGGACATTAGTTGTGGCTCATGTAATAGTCTATTAACCATTAGCCAGTAGTTTATATTGCGTGCTCTATTAGTAGTATTAGTATTAAGTCTGCATTAGTCAAAATCACAAGTAAGCTCTGTAAAATGCAAATCTACATGTGAGAAGTCACTGAGGGACAGCCCTCATTTTAATTAATTCATACATTGAATTTTTTTTTTTATGTGGTTTAACTTCCAAAAGTCCACCATTTATGTTAAATATCAGCCAGTTACCAAAAACCTCACAGTTACACCGGAGTTTTGACAGAACACTTGTTGGTGGCACATAGGTTTGCTTTGGGTGATTGCAGATATTGACTCCGAAGGCTTGGCTTCTATCCAAGAGCACAATGCGCTTCTGATGGGGTGGATTTCCTTTTAAGAGGTCTTGGAATACAATGAACGCAGGAACCAGAGCCACATACTGTAACGAGCAGTGCCGCAATTATCTTTCAGTGCGGCAAACACAAATCTGTCACTAACTGAGAATACTAACCCCCTTCTCAGCTGCTGGATTGTGAAAATCTTAAATTAACATTTACATGCACCGCGCTTTTGTGGGGGGCTTGTAAAAACTTGCAAATGCAACAGTTATTAAGTCATGTGGCAATTTGTGATGGCTATTTATCAAGAAAAAACACGTGACAGTTTGAGTATAAATGAGACTCAGATCAAGATCCACTCACCTCAATCTGCAGAGTGAGATTGTTAGATTCCGCTCATTGTTTGTGCCGCTAGTAAAGTTTTGGTGCTTTTCTTCTCGTTCCTGTCATGTCCAGATGAGCAAACCCATTTAAACACCAGCGGGGGGGGGAAGAAAAAGTGTCCTTATTCTGAGAAACAGCAGCAGCAGCAAAGCGCGCAACAGCTTGCCAGTGCGCACTGCGGTCCGTTTGGCGTCGAGGGTTCATTAACTGCTCTGTGAGACTGAGAGATACAGAAAAACGAGGCGGGTTAAGTAACAGAGAAGAAACGAGAACGCGGTCTTTTGGGGGTCTTCATCCTGTGAGAGTACAAAATGTAATAAATGTGCGCCAACAATAGGAAAACCTAAAAGTGCAGATGCGCGTGCTTTATATGGAGCATTTGAACGAAACAATATCAGTTTCAGTTATATCAGCGTCCGTGAGTCTCTGCCGCTTTTTTTCACTGATGCCATCAATCAGCATCCTCTGAAACTTCTTTTTTCCCACAAACTCATCATTAGAGACCTCACTTTTTATATTCTGGTGAATAACAGCGCAGGTTCCAGCTTAAGGTCTAGTTCAGTGAAGCAGGTCCATTTCAAATTGTTAAGCCTGCGGCTTATAATTGCAATCATTTGATTACCGCTGTTATAAACCAAGACACCATGTGGCCATTAGGAACTGAGTTACTGTAGAACTGTCTCCTTGGCAAACGCCTACCAAACTTTGCCCATAGAGCTACAACACAGATGGTGAAATAATGAGGAAAGAAAAACAGGAAACCTGGGCAAGGCTTTCAGGAAGATTGCAGCAGGCTGAGCAGAGTGTAAATGATCTTCTTTAATATGGTAGCAAGAAATGATTCTTCATTTGTCATTGCAGATGCCTCACACTGTGATTTAAGGCTTCAGCTCCTGGTCAAGGAAAAAAAGAACATTTCTGCATTAGTAAGAGGTCCACATAGATGAT